CGGCAATCATCAGGTGACCGTGACACGGGCACACGCGACGTCTGGTTGCCAAACTGTGCCAGACGTCCTCCCGAGCGTGGCCTCGTGGATGAAGTTATTTCTCACCTACATTTTTACTTCCAATTCCTAAGACGTTACGCGTGCGTCATCGGAATGGGAAAGGGTTCATTAGGTCCGGGCGCCACTGCGCCACGCCGCGCCGTCGGCAGACAACCACCACCCCCCCTCACCACCCCCCCTCCCCCCCGTTCGATTCCGCGCCCCGCACGGACGAGTGCCCCGTGCCACGTGCGTGGTGTCGGTCCTGGGACGGGACGCGTCTCAGGATTGCGTCCAGCAGGGGCGATGTGTTTTGTACTTGCTACTTACAGCTCAACGAAACGACGATCGCAGAGCGGAGGGGGAACAGAAATTCCGCATGACAGCGAGCCGATGTCGGCGCGACAAGGGCCCCGTGAAGGGGGGGGGGGATTGGGCTCGCTGACCCACCCAGGTGGGGAACACGTGCAGGAGGCATGAAGAGTTATATGGGAGGGGTAAGGGGGAAAATAACGAGTATGTACGTCAGTTGAATTTCTTTGGCACAGTACGTAGCCAAACGTGCTCATCGGAGGCGCGATGGACGTGGCCCAGCGGTAGCGCGTTCACCGCTCGTTGCAGAGGTTCGAGGCCGGCGGATGCCCTGGTTAATACCGCCTCGGAGAGCGTATGAGCCGTGCTGCGTGCCGTCTGCTTCACTCGTGGTGGACGCCAACGATCCCCGTGATGTCGTTCGAAACGAGTGTGTAGGTCATCGTGTGGCTGCGTCACGGTGCACAATTTGAGAGTGTTCGGAAAAAGTGCCGCGCACGTTGATCACGTGGGAACGCACAGCAGCGACATCGCCTGCCTGTTGTGAAAATGTGGACAGGACCCTCCTGCCAAAGAGTCTTGAGGCTCGGTGAGGCTTCTCTGGTTAAAGAAGGGCAATTGTAACAACACCACTAAATCAGTGCCCGCTGTTGTATTTGTCTTGCAGGTGCGGCTCGTGCCGTCGAGCTGTCGCTAGAGAGTGGCCGAGCGGCGGGGAGGGAATGACGAGTAGAGACGCAGCGAGACGGAACACTGGCCACGCTTGTAGCACACGTGTAGCGTGTGGCACGTCGTGGGGGGGGGGGGGGGTAATTACCGTACATTTAATTGGCTTAATTGCAGGTCGCGTCAACGGGGTGAATGATTGGCGTGGTGAGTACGGTGCCCACCGCGGTGTGGCCACGTTAAGGAACGCCGCGTTCTCGTCACTCCGCGTTCGTTCACAAATTCCGAGCCCGTGAGCAGTGGCGCATGGTCGTGAAGGGCAGCCTTCATCGGAACCCAAGAGGTCGGCGCCGGTAGCATGTATGTACGTACGTTGAACTTCTTTCGCACCGTACGTAGCCAACCGCGCTAATTGGAGGTAGCTAACGAGTGCGCAGGCAGTGCAACGGCACTGGGCAGGAGCGGCCGGTGAGGTCCGGGCGCCAGGCTACAGAGAAATTGGACTGGGCTCCCCCCACCCGCCCCATCATTCATTCCTCGCAGCAGGCTCCAGATCGAACCCAAGGTAGTTAACGTCTTGCAGCCATACATGTGAGGGCCAAATCCCAAATACAGCCACTACCAAGCAAACGACGAAAGTCCCGCTGCCGAGCAAAAAACAGAAACGAATAAACGCATTCAGAAAACGGCTCCACAACAAAGGGCGCAAGCGGCGACGAAAAATGGTCAACGCACGCGACTAACGCAAGCGTCTGCGCGTTCCCACAGCCCACCACCACCACCACCACGGCCGCAGGTGATCGACACGGCCGGCTCGAGGATCAGGTAGAGTTTGCTGGTCGTGTCGATCACCTGCGGCCGTGGTGGTGGTGGGGGGGAGTGGGGAGGGATAGGGCGACCTCATGCGCCACGAAGGGGGCCTGCAGCAGCCCGACGCCACGCACCACTTCGCTCAGGTCCTGTGCGCCGCCACCGCCTCCTCCTGCCACCGGCTGCCCGTGGCCCACCGAGACCTACTTCTGTGCGGGCACCAAGCCGGCGACGAGCTGCTCCTCGCTCGGCCGTCCGCTCACTTTGCTCGCTTACTAGTTTATTTTTCTTTTTTGCTTACCAGGGTCAGGCCCACTGAGCTATGTAGCTCTTTTTCAGAAGCGACCTGGCCACAAATGATAGCTCAACCAAGTTGCTCATCACGTAGACATTTATAGCGGCCAAATACTCTAAGCGCGTGTTTACAAATGTGGAGAAAAATCCATACAACCACGGGGAAAACACGCAAAATCTAAATATACAGGCATCAAGGTCGGGATTGAACCCAACTCCTCCTCTATAGCAGGCGAGGGAGTTAACATCGAGCCACCCGTGGGTGGGCGGCCGTTGCAGAGAAATCCGGCGACGTGGTTCTAAGAATGGTCAGAACTATTCTAAAAGGACGTGACGCGCCGGTGTCACGGTCCGATTTTTTTAAATTTTATTTTATTTCAATGACACCGCAAGTTGCCCACTCGGTGGTGATAGGAGAGCCGTAATTGTCGTTGCGCTCGATGATTTCATCCAACCGTAGCCATTGTCAACTAAAATTATAAATAAAAAACCTCTTCGGTGACGGATATTTCGTCGCTAATTCCGTTTACAAGTTAACTTTGAGAACTCAAAGAGACCAGGATGAGTACCGTTTGCAAGAGCTAAAATTACCAAAAAAAACAAAGTAGAGCATTTGTAGCGAATTTAATTCGGAGCAGAAACAATTGTCGCCTGAGAAATTGAAAATAACCAGGGAAGGGAACTCATCGTGAGGTGAGTGTGAGAATTAGTGAGCGTGGAAGCAAGTAGTTGGCCGAATGAATGAGTGGGTGAGTGAATGAGTGAATGAGTGGGTGAGTGAATGAGTGGGTGAGTGAATGAGTGGGTGAGTGAATGAGTGGGTGAGTGAATGAGTGGGTGAGTGAATGAGTGGGTGAGTGAATGAGTGGGTGAGTGAATGAGTGGGTGAGTGAATGAGTGGGTGAGTGAATGAGTGAATGAGTGAGTGAGCGCGTCGTTTCGACCCGCAGTGTTGTTGGTCGAACGGCTCGACGAGACGAAACAATCGGTCCTCAACTTACGCGGCGGAGGGATCGACGGCCTAAGCCACCGTGGTGCCGCATCGCACGCCACCACGTGCAGCAGCTGCCACCCAACGGCGCCCGGCGACGTAGGAGGAGGACCAGGGCCTGCGTCGCTCGCTCTCTCCGCCCGCTGAGCCGCGGCGAAGGATTCGCGTCGGCGTGCACAGGAGAGATTTGTCATCTTCTTGGTTCTTTCGGTAAAGTCACGTAGAAGGGAAGTAATACAATAATAAAAATAAAACATAATAAAATAATTCTCACGACGTTTCGGCCACAACGCAAGCAGCCGTCCTCAGGTGAAGAACAGGTATGTCGAGGAGAAAGCCACCTCTCAGGCAGCAGAGAAAGAACGCGGAAATGTTTAATCGGAGTGGCAGGCGCTTTCGAAAAGTGTCCGCTGTTGCGAATGCGTACGTTGCCTGCTGGTGTGTGTGCGTGTCGAAGAGACGGAGGGAGGTAGGGAGGCTAGCGACTGAGATTCTTCTCGAATCTCCTGGTCTTCGCTCGCGATGACGGAAGGGTTGCCACCTGTCCAGGTTTGACCTGGTACATTTTGAGTATCGGCGTCTGCGTTCGGGTGGCAACAGGAATTGAATTGTACCGAGATGGAACGTTGCTGCTGCAGTCGACTGCACAGTGTTGGCAAGGCCCATGCTCACTGCGAAGTTTGTCCGGATTTTGCGAGACGGACGATAGTCTATAGGAGGGTCCCCGAATTGCTTGGCCACTTCTATTATCGATTTAGACTCGGCCAGTAATAATTCGTTTAACACAACACTTAAACGTTATCAAAATAAGTTGAATGTCCTTGTTGGCACGCATGTTTTGCAACTGCCGACAGTTGTGTTTGTATTTAATATTTTGTGCTACTTTAGTCTCTCACCAATGTTACATCTCGTCTGTTCAACGTAGCATTTAAAACACCAGCAAATAATCCGATACACACCTGTAAATAACGTTGGGAATTCATCTTTATTTAAAGATACTGGTTTTTTTTTTTTTACCGTTCCAAATCTTACTATGATTTTTAGTTTTTTTTTAAAAACTCTAGCAAGTGTGTCAGTTACTCCCGCAATGCATGGTGTTTCATTGTTTTAATAACATGATGGTTTTCACTATTATTTCTGGTCGGTCTTGGTTTTTACATTGAATGCTCTGTTAATTCGCGCATTATTGTAGCTATTTAATCGTATAGCTTCTTTAACATGTTTAAACTCCCTCCTCAGACTTTCACCATCTGACACTGTTTTATCCCGATGTATGTGCGTCTTGATGAAAGAGGATTTCTGTGCGGGGTGATGATGCGAATCTGCATTCGGACGGGCATCAGTGTGCGTTCCCTTTCGGTAAACGCTGCCTGTTAGTTTATCGTTTAGGCCGCATCCGAGTAAAATATCCAGAAACGGGAGTGACCATAATACAGGGGGGGGGGGGTTGTTGGGTTAGGTGGAGTTTGCATCTAACCCCCCCAACCCCCCCCCCCTCCCACCCGTATTATGGATGATATTGGTCGTGAAAGCATCCTGCGTGTTAAACCAAACGGGAGTCATTCACCTCCACGTCCACGGTGAACTCCGGCGCGGGGGGAGTTGGTTGTCATTGTGACCATCACTCGGCCCCTGGTGGACAGAGCCTGCAACGAGAGCCCGTGTTGCGGGCCAGGCGGGGGCGACGGCCACGACACGGGACGCACGATGCTGTTAGCGACGCAAGTGTGGGTTGAAGCGACGCAAATCCGAGAGCGGCGTTAATAGCGGGACGACGTATATTTGCGAAACGACGTAAAACGGGGAAGACGTAAATGTGGCTATGACTGTGTTATAGCAATGGGTGTTGTGAATCTGTGCGTTGTGAAACAATGAGTCTCAGTGTGGCTGTGACGGGGTTGATGGTTCACGTGGTCCCCCCGACTGTAGGGGTCGCTCCACTCCACTCCACTCCACGCGTTCCGCTCCTCCTCTCGCAACCCGCGTCTCCGATTGCGCGATGAGTGAGCCGCGCTTCCAGTGTACAGCGTCGCTTCGAATAGCCCATCCTGGTACACACTCACCCCTCACCCAGGTCATCCGAGCTGTCGATTCCTCTCCACGCACTCTCACGTCTCCCCCCTCTCGTCTCATCTCTGCCCCCCTCTCCAATCGCTTTCTTCCCTCTCCCCTCTGGACTCACTCAGCCTCCCTCCATGTACCCTGCGACGTCTCATCTCACTCTACTCCCCTCCTCCTGCCACTCTCCTACATCTCCCCTCTCATCTGTCCGCTCCGGTCAACCTCCGCCCGGTAGGAGGTTGCTCATCCCCCTCTGCTGGCCCTAGTGTCTGGAACTTCCCTCTCGCCCTCCCTCCCCAGCACACCGTGCTGCCGACTCCATGCCCCCCTGCTCACGTCAAGACTCGAGACCAAATGGGATGCAGCGGTGATGCAGTGGAACCCGGCCACCTGAGCTCGATTCCTGGCCACGGCTAACATCAGTGGTGAGTGATATCAGCAGCGCAACACCCCTTAACTTTTATATCAGCATAAGTGACAGTGTAGGGAGACATTCTCCAAACTAAACATTTTATTTTATTTTACCAGGTAAGGCTCACGAAGCTCTATAGCTCTTTTTATAAGCGACCTGGCCACAAATGATATGTCAACAGAGTGGCTTATCACGTGGAAACGTGTTGCAACCAAATACTCTCAACGCGTGTTTCTAAATGTGGAGGGAAAACCGGAAGACCCGGAACAAAAATCCACGCGTCAAGGTCGAGCCCGAACCCACGACCTCCTGTACTCCAGGCCAGAGAGTTAACATCTCATAGCCACCGTGGCGCCACATTGATCCAGCAGTGGATCGATCATGGGAGCGTGATGGGGACCTGGGGGGCAGCCGATCCTCCCACGGCTTGAGGGGGGTATCAATCTGAACGCTGCCACCCTAATGAATATTCATAATGGACCCCCACGACGACTGGACCCCCGCAAAGTAGCAATCGCTTCCAGTGCGGTATCGTAGCCCCCCCCCCCCCCCCCCAACGTCGCCACTCAGACCCACACGGCAATGGCCTTGGTGGTCTCGCGTGCCTGTGCGTGTGTGTGCGTGTGTGTGTGTGCGTGTGTGCGTGTGTGTGCCTGTGAGCGTGTGCGTGCCTGTGGCGTGTGTGTACGTGTGTGAGTGTGCACGTGTGTGTGAGCGTGTGCGTGCGTGTGTGTGCGTGTGTGCGCGTGGGGAGCGGTAGAGCAACAGTTAGCGCGTGCCTGCGCGTGTGTGTGAGTGTGCACGTGTGTGTATGCTTGTGTGTGTGCGTGCTTGTGTGTGTCATGTGTGTGTATGTGTTGGAGGGGAGCGGTAGGTAGTGCAACGGTGAGCGAACCCGACAACCCGAGTCCGATTCCCGCTCACAGCCAACATCAGTGACGATTATCTAAACCGGTCCTGGGCCTCCCCTAGGTCGACTCAACCTCAGATGAGTACCTGGTGCGGTGTGTAAAAACATCGCCATTGGGGAGACAAAGGTGGTCGGGCGTGGTGCTGGTCACCTACCCTCTCGTGTGCCGTGCCAGCCTTCATGGTGTGCACCTCGCAAGCAGCACTTACCCCAATAGTCTGTTAAGGCTACACGGGGGATCTTTGTCTTTGTGCGCGCGTGTGTCGTATAGCCGTTAAGGGCTCTTATCTTAGCGTGCGACGTGATTGGGGCCTATTGAGTGAAACGCCGATCTATTTATGAAGACCAAACAATGGGATTAACCCTCGAACTCGTCTCGCGCGGTCTGACGCTCCCGCCGCACGCGAGGTGACCGTGCCAAGGGAGCCGAGGGGGCGGACGAACGGGGGGGGGGGGGACATGACCGGCTGAAACGTTTTTGCGCAATCGTGGTGGTTATAAGGGGGTGGTGGTCGTGGTGGTTACCAGGGTTGGTGGTTGTGGTAGGTTGATGTGGCGGTTGATGAGAATCGTATTGAGTGATGGTATGGGTGGTGTTCGGGGTTTGTGGTGGTGGTAAGGGGATCGTGGTCGTGGGTTGGCTGTAGGGGTGAGAGCAAGGGGGTGATGGTCGTGGCGTAGTTTGTGGTGGTGATGCTTAGTGGAAACATCGGGGATTGTGGTGGTGGTCAGTTGTTGAACACGTGTCTGCATAGACACGGGTGTCTCTCTCCCCGCCTCTCTACCCTCTCCATGCCAATCAGACAATATCTTGCTGTCCTTCCCGACACCTCCAATTATCACGGTTTGGCTACGTACGGTGCGAAAGAAGTTCAACATACATACGGACATTATCCCACCCCATTTGGCTCTTCGGACAAATGCGTAAAAGTTTCTGTTTGTGCAGTGCGCTCCGGCGGTTTGAGGGTGACAATGGGGGGGGGTGGGAAACGCCGAGGGAGGGAGGGATATGATCCGTGAGACCGCAAATTAACCCCCCTCCACCCCCCCCCCCCTCTCCTGCTCGCCCCACAACTCTAACAGATCGCACGCCTTCTGCGGAGCAACGTCAACTCGGGCATACGAGACAGAGACGCATAGACATCAAGAGGTGCATTCGTAGAGACGCACAGTGACATGCGCACACAGACACACACGCTTACCCAAACGCAACATACACCAACGATGTCACGCACGAAGAGCCGACGCACACTGTAATATAGCCAAACACTCACACACACAGAACTACACAACTACACACACTGGCGCATCAGCAACACAGACGAACACACACCAACAAAACAGACACGCATTTTTGACCCAAACACATTGACAAACACACACTTTGACCCACACACCGACACGCGCACACATATCAAACCGCACACACACTCACGCATAGTCGCCCCCACACACAGATAGCCAACCACACACGCAGACACTGACACCCACGCTTTGACCCACACGGACAACCAACTACACACCCACGGATAGCCACCTACACGCGCAGAGCCACACACACGCAGAGATCCACACACACACACGCAGAGATCCACACACACACACGCAGAGATCCACACACACACGGAGAGATCCACACACACACGGAGAGATCCACACACACACAGAGACACACACACGGAGAGAGCCACACACAGAGAGAAACACACACACGCACAGAGCCACACACACAGAGAGCCACACACACGCACGTCCAACCATGGCGTGCCATCTCGCGGAGGGCCCCGGCCAGTCGTGTCCGGCCCCCGCGCGTCTCCCCGCCGCGGCCTCGCCCCTGGGCCTCTCCGCGCTCTCCGTGGCCCTGCTGCTGCTGCTGCTCCTGCTGCTGCTGCTGCTGCTGCTCGTGGTGCTGCGATTGTGGAGGGGATCCCGGCGCCTTCCCGAGGGGTTCCCGCCGGGACCCCGGGCGCTGCCCTTGGTCGGGAACCTCCTCTCGCTGGGGGAGCAGCCGCACGTGACGCTGACGGAGCTGGCGAGCCAGCACGGAGCGGTGAGTCGAGCCGGTGGGGAGGGAGAGTCGGGTCGGTCGACACACTGGTCAACGAAGACGGAGTCGTCGTCATCGCCATCATCATTATCATCATCACCATCATCACCATCAACAACCGCCATTCGCCACTAAGTGGCGGTGACGTCACTACGACGCTTGTGCCAGGATATGTGCACGTTGAGGCCACGTGAAATGTCGAACGCCCACTGGCAGGAGGTCACGGGACAGACCCAGGTGCCACGGGTCGACTGACTGAGATGACTGGCTGATGCACCACCTGTGCCCCCTACTGTGCCAACTTTCTGTGATTTTATCTACCCGGTGCTCCGCTCGTGGTTGTGAGCGTCGCTCCTCCACCCTCCGTTGTTGTTAGAGGGCGACTGCCTCCAACTGCCCAGTAGCGTCCTTCACGAGCCTCCTCCACAGAGGCCGATCTTGACACCGCTGGTACCAGTCATCGGCAAGTCCATTCAGCTCCAAATCTTCCTGTACCACATCACTACATCTCTTCTCTAGCCCGTGCCGCGCCCGTTTAGCGCCCTCGATCCGGCCAAACAAAAGCTGTTTAGGCATGCGGTGGCTGGGCATGTGGGCGCCATGGCCCAGCCAACGCAGCCTTGCCTGCCGGAGGAGCTCACCGATGGGACTTTGCCCAGATCTTTCAAGGATTTGTGAGCTCCTCACACAATCCAGCCTGCTGGTTAAACCCAGGATAGATCGTAGGCAGGCCAGCCTACATGTTTCTAACCGGAGAAAATGTTCCATTAGGGGGGTCCACGTTTCGCAAGCGTAGAGAAGGGAGATTATGACTGTGGCCGAGAAGACCTGAAGCTTTGCGCGGAATGACATACCAGGTAGCTTCCACACAGTGTTTCGCATCTGGTCATGGGAAACTCTCCACTCTCTCCACAACTGCCCAGTCACCAATTTGGGAGTTGTGGGGGTCGAGTGTCCGATGGTACAAAATACCCAGGCAGGTGCTTAGTTTTGATGGGGCTGATGGTAAGGCCCCACCTCTTAGTGGCAAGTTCCAGGTTCAGTAGCAGCGCCTCCAACTCCTCCTCTGAGTGAGCAGCAATTACCAGATCATCGGCATACATAACATGGTTGAGCAATAGGGAGCCATCCCTTGATCGCACCCAGGCATCGATCAGCCTCCCATTGTATCTGTACCAGATGGAAATTCCTCCAGTACAGTTATGGAAGGCTTCACGAACTACGTGGTCGAAATGTGTTAAATAATGTGGGAGCCAGAGGACATCCCTGTCGCACCACAAGGTGTACAGGGAATGGCTCCGACTCCTGGCCACGTAGTTTACCTGAGCCCGCTCACCATCATGAAGGTCCTTAATGATCGTAAGCAGAAGGTCAGGGACTCCGAAAGCACGAAAACCCAGAGCTCAGGCCTACTGATGGTATCATAGACCTTGACCAGGTCAACAAAGCAGAGATGTAGGTCTTGTTGGAATTCCCTACACCTCTGCTGTAGCAGATAGACAGAAGATATGGCATCTGTATAAGACCACCCTTTTCTGAAACCGCATTGGGGCTCCGCAAGCCTCTCGTCAGCGTGCCTAGCAAGGCGATATCGAATAATAATTCTTGAAGAGTGAGATGCCCCTGTAGTTGTTACAGTCTGTGCGGTCCCCCTTCTTAAAGAGGGGGACCACCAGGGTATCCTTCCAATCCTGCGGAAACCGTCCAGTGGTCCAGACTGTTGTTATGATGTCATGTAGGGTAGTCTGTGCACAAACGCCACGCTCCCTCAGCATTTTTCTTGGGAGATCATCTCTGCCGGGTGCCTTTTCTGGTCTCAGGCTCTCGATCGCCTTCAGTACTTCCTCAACAGATGGCACCTCAGCCAGCCACTCACAGGGGGTGACGACTTCTTCCGATATTTGAGGCACCGCAGCCTCGGCAGGGTCATCCCCACTTTGTCCCACGATGTTTTCCATGTCGAGGGATTTCCCCTTCCCCAGGACCTCACAGAAACCCTCAGCAAATCTGCAAACCTGTTCCTGGGGATCAGAGATTGGATCACCGTTCTTTCCCCTATGGATGGCAATAGGTATGGTGCTGCAGGTTGCTTTTTGATGGAGTTAAAGAGCGATTTGTGATCGCGGGCCATTGAGGCAGACTCCATATCCTCAGCAACCCGCGACCACCACCCACCCTTGCAGCGCCTCACGGCTCTCCGAACCTCTGAGCGAAGGCTGCAGTAAGCCTCCTCATTTTCTGACGTGGGATGCTGTAGACGATGAGAGTGGGCCTGTCGCTTTTTCTCAGCCAGCTTAAACACCTCCTCTGTCAGCCAGGGTCTCTGAGGAGGTCTGGACCGCGTACCCAAAGCAGCTATTGCAGCTGTATGAGCCACAGTCCTAAATCTCGCCCATTTCCCCTCGACATCAGGAGGAGTGAGGGACGATGCCAACCCCAGCCGCAAGCAATGATGAAATTCTCGCTTTCAACGTTCATAATCATAGCTGAGACCAGGCCACTATGGGTTTGAATGTGGTCCAGGGTGTGCACTCACCACCGGAGTGGAAAAATGGCAGGCGCATCTTACAGTCGATGGTCAGTGGGCAGATCAGCTCCAGGGTAGGTCCTGGTGTCAAGGACATGGGCCCGCATCCTCTGTTCCATCACTATGTAGTCCAGCAGATGTTCTTGCATATCACCATCATCATCACCATCGTATTCACCATCGTATTCACCATCATCATCACCACCATCATCATCACCAGCACCATCATCATCACCACCATCATCACCACCATCATCACCACCATCATCACCATCATCTGACGAGATGGACAGCCACGACGAAGACCGCAGACTTCTCTAAGCGCCGCGAACAGAAGAACCCCGCTCCTCTCTCCCCTCGGCGAGTGGAGAGTGCGCGTGGTTGTGGGACTCGGATGGAGGGAGGGGAGTTGCGTTCATTTTTTAAAATATAAAAATCAGAGGCGCCACCGCTTGTGTTTGTTAGTGCGCAAAGAAGCGACGCTGCCGCAATCTCGCGGAGAGACTGGGAAGGGGAACCACGTGGACTGGAGAACGATGTCATTCTGAACGTCGTCAGGCCAACGTCGTCAAGAACGGTGACGGAGGTAGCAGCCAAAGAACGGAACGCGTCCGAGAGGACGTGAGCCGAGGAGATGGTGCCATGATAATTATGATGATGACGATGATGATAAAATCAGCAGCTGCAATATTGCTCCAGGTGCTAGGGGTGGATGGATCGTGACATCGCAGGATCGTAAGAGGTGGCGGTAGCTACGTTGCGTCCTTCATCCAACAGTGGATTGGCCATGGCTGGTGATGAGGAGGAGGAGGGGGGTGAGATTTGTATGCGCGCGTCGCGCGTGGCCACGAGCCACAGCCGCTCAGTGCTGACGTCATAAAGACCGCGTTGTTGTGGGTCATTATTTAATTATTTAGATTATTACTTTGTTATTTTATTGGGGGTGGGGGGGTGTAAGTTCCGGGGCTGTGCTGGGAGTCTGTTTCTGACGATGGGCATGGTCACCGCGACCTATCGGAAGTGAGGGAGGGGGGGGGGGGGATGGCGGAAGGGTGGGGGAGGGGCGGAACGGGTGATGTGAGGTTAGGAGACCCGGAACATTGGGGGGGAGGGGGGGGGACGTTGATTATGTAGAGAGTGGGGTGATGGTAATGTTGATGATGGTGATGCAGGTGGTGATATTGACGACGATACCGGTGTGAATGGAAAGGGTCGTGACATCCACACGATGAGTGATGATGATGATGACCACGATGGAGATAACACGGGGCACAAGTCCAGTCTGGTGGCAGAACACGCAGACAGATGAACACGCGCACGCACGCGCACAGACAACAGCCGCCGTTCGCCACTAAGTGCCGGTGACGTCACCACGACGCTTGTGCCAGGCTAGGTGCACTTTGAGGCCACGTGAAGTTTCGAATGCCCGCTAGCAGGAGGTCACGGAACAGAACCAGGTGCCACGGGTTGACCTGAGATGACTGTCAGATGCACCACCTGTGCGATCCCTCCAACTTCCCCAGCAGCGTCCTTCACGAACCTCCTCCACAGTGACCGATCGTGACACTGCTGGTACCACTCATCGGCAAGTCCAATCAGATCCATATCCTCCTGTACCACATCAGCCCATCTCTGCTCTAGCCCGCACCGCGCCGCTTTAGCCCCATCTAGCCGGTCAAACAGGAGCTGCTTGGGCATGCGGGCTCCATGTCCCAGCCAACTCAGCCGAGCTTGTCTGTAGGAGCGCATTGACAGGACTGTGCCCACATCTTTCAGGGATCTGTGTTGCTCCTCGCACAATCCAGTCTGGTTGAACCCAGGATGGCTCAGGCTAGCCTCAATGTTTCAAACCCGCGCAGACATCTCGCAAGCGTAGAGGAGGGGAAAACCGTGGCCGAGAAGAACCGAAGCTTTGAATGAAGCGACAGGCCAGGTAGCTTCCACACAGCGGTGCGCAGCTGATGAAAATATAATGCCACTCGACTTATTCGGAGTTTGACCTCGGCTGCCAAACCGGAGCTGGTCATATGCACACTGCTCAAGTACAGAAACGTCTCCACTCTCTCCAGCCCTGCCTTGTCACTCGTGAGGAAGTTGAGGGAGGGGAGCATGTGATTACACAAAATACCCAGCCAGGTGCTTTGTTTTTGTGGGACTGGTGGTAAGGCTCCTACAGTTGCATGCTCCAGGTTCAGCAGTAGCGCCTCCAACTTCCTTCTCAAAGTGAGCAGCATTCGCCAGATCATCCGCATACATAACGTGGTTGACCAAAAGGGAGCCACCCCTTGCCCGCACCCGGGCATCGATCAGCCTCCCATTGTATCTACACCAGATGGAAATTCCACGAGTATATTCATGTAACTCGTCTCAAACTAGGCGGTCAAAGAAGATGTTAAATAGCGTAGGGGCCAGAGGACATCCCTGTCGCATGCCACGGTGTACAGAACATGGCTCCGACGCCCAGCCAGGCAACTTTACCCGGGCCTGCACACCCCCATGAAGGCCCTTGGTGAGCACAGAGGCGCACACACACAGTCACACACAGTCACACACACAGACACTTAACCCAGTGAATGCTGTAATGTTTCATAACTCGTGACTTGACCCAGACGGACGAGGAATGTACGCAATGCCCACACTGTGATGAGCGCGCGTGTGTCCGTGTGTGTGTCCGTGTGTGCGTGTGTGTCCGTGTGTGTGTGTCCGTGTGTGTGTGTGTGCTCGAGTGCGTTTCTGTGTCTGTTTGGCTGTCTGTTTTTGCTCTCGTCCATGTGTGCGCATGTTCGTGTGTGTCTTTGTTTGATGCCCGCTCACGACCAACATCAGTGACGCTTATCTGAACCGGTCCTCGGTCTCCCCTAGGTCGACTCAGCCTCAAATGAGTGCCTGTGCGGTGTGAAATCAGCATTTTGGGAGACAAAGATGGTCGGGCGTGGTGCTGGCCACCCACCCCCTCGTGTACCGTGCCGGATTTTATAGGTGCTCGCTAACAGCACTTGCTCCTACAGTCTGTTAAGGCTATACGGGGCATCTTTGTCTTTGTGCCTTCATAGCGGTTAGCGCACTGCACTCCGAACCCGGCGACACGGGTTCGATTCCCGCTTACGGCCAACACCAGTGCCGGTCGTGGGCCTCCCCTAGGGCGACTCCGTCTTGAATGAGTACCTGGCGCGGCGTGCCGGCACGTACCGACGACATTCACAGTTGCTACTCGCAGAAAACATTCCCCAAACAGTCGCTCAAAGGCTCCGCCGGGCGATATTTACATTTGCCATTCTGTCTGCGCCAGTCAACCTCGTTAACCATTAACCCTTGCGCCTGTCCGATGACCTGCCAGCGAACCCTCGACACTTAACACGATGGCTTCAAAGTACACCTAGCCTGGCACAAGCTATGTGATGACGTCAGTGAATAGCACCTGTTGTCGTTTAGCGATGTGTGATAGTCTGTGTTGGATTATGGGGAGCTGTAGCGTAGTGGTTAGCGCAGTGCACTACGAAACTGGCGTTGGATTCCCCGGCCACAATTAATTATCGGAACCAGTCCTTTACCGAGCCTTAAAAGCGACCCAGCCTTAAATGAGTCCCTGGTGCCTGTGTGTAAATATGAACACTGGGGAGACAAAGGCGGCTGGGCATGGTGTTGCCCACTCACCCCCGTGCCGTTCCGGCCTTTATAGGTGCTCGCTAACAGGACTTTCCCCAAAAGCCTGCCAAGCCTATACGGGGGATCTTTGTCTTTGTGTCCGACCGATCGCCGTGCCAGCTACCCGACGCGAAAATTCAGTAACCCCCTCATGCTTCAAATGCAGTGGTGTGAAGATGGTTCATCGCACTCTCTGGCCCATATACAAATACACACATAGACATACTGTAAAAACTCCCAAATACACAAAGATACCTGACCAGATTGAGAGGAGCAAGTGCTGTTAGCGAACACCAATGAAGGCTGAAATGACATAACAGGATGTTTGGGTGACCAGCACCACGTCCGACCGTCTTTGTTTCCTGAGTGGCGATGTTTACACAAGTACTTATTTGAGTCTGAGTCGACCTAGGGGAGGCCCAGGACCGGTGCAGATTAACGTCACTGATGAATCGAGATGCACGAACCCACACGTCACACACGCCAATACACACGATACACAACACGCAACTCACACACTCGTACACGCCACACGCAGCCTCGCAGGCAGACTCACTCGCACACACTCACACGTGCACCAACCAACACATTCATACATTCACACGAACACTCTCTCACAACCTCAGCAACGACTGTACGCCATCATCATCGTCTCGTCCGTCCCCAAGGACTACGATGACCGCATGTGCATCGAGAGTCAGTAACCATCGTCACCTCGCGGGGTTGTTCTGTTTGTTTCCTGTCGGTTCGCTTCTGAGCTCACACGCACTGTGGGCTCAGGGCAACTCCTGAGATTCAGACGCACTGGTCGACACCGTAACCACTTCGAACCCGCCAACATACCCACCAACTTAAACATACGCCCAAACACACATTCGCACTCACAACAACCGTACCTCTCTACTTGGTGGCATTGATATCAACACAGCGCATGCATCAGGCCAAATCAAAAGCAGCTTGGGCATGCGGTGGCTGGGCATGAGGGCTGCATGACCCAGCCAACGCAGCCTCAGTCGCCTGCCAGAGCAGCTCGCCGATGATGGAGACTGTCCAGATGATGCCGTAAATGGATGGTCGAGTTCCTAACGCAGCCCAACAACCGACGGTGGATCGTGGGCGGGCTGCTAGTGAGCCCCTTCCCGTGGGGCTCCTCGCTCACCCTGCTCCCCCCTCTGCCCCCCCACTCCACACCCCCCGGGCAGGTGTACTCGGTGTGGCTGGCCACCATCCCGGCCGTGGTGGTGTGCGGCTACGAGGCCGTGCGCGAGTGCCTGCAGCTGCGTGCCACCGACTTCGCCGATCGCCCGTGCCTCCCGCTCTTCCAGCGCCTCACGGGCATGCGTGGTGGGTCACCGGAGTGGGTCACCGGGTCACCGGGGTGGGTCACCAGGGTGGGTCACCGGGGTGGGTCACCAGGGTTGGTCACCGGGGTGGGTCACCAGGGTGGGTCACCAGGGTGGATCACCGGGTCACTGGGTGAGGCACCGGGGTGGGTCACCAGGGTAGGTCACCAGGGTAGGTCACCAGGGTGGGTCACCGGGGTGGGTAACCGGGGTGGGTCACCGGGGTGGGTCACTGGGTGGGTCACCAGGGTGGGTCACCGGGTCACCAGGGTGGATCACCGGGGTGGGTCACCGGGTCACCAGGGTGGGTCACCGGGTCACTGGGATGGGTCACTGGGGTGGGTCACCAGGGTGGGTCACCGGGGTGGGTCATTGGGGCGGATTACCGGGTCACAGCAATCATCGTGTCCCTCCGACTGCGCAAAAAAAACCCCGGCAGGACCCTCCTGAAAATGAGTCTTGAGGACTCGGCCAGGTTTTCCTGGGAAATTACACGGACAAATGAAATCGTGTTCTTGGCCACGCAGATGAATGGGCATCACCGTTGGTTAATGTGTCTGCTCTGGGCTTATGGGACTATCCGCTCTCCCGCTTACGAATGCGAACCCAGGCCTCCTGAACGCGCGGTTCGGCCCGGGCTGGGCCGAGCAGAGGCGCCTGGCGGTGTGGAGCGTCCACGCGTTTGGCACGGCGAAGCCCGACTTTGAGAGTCTCCTCCAGGCGGAATGCGCCCACCTGCTGGAGGCTATGGACAAAGCCTTCGAGGCAGCCGATACAGAATCATCGTCGTCGTCGTCATCGCATTCATCAGCAGCAGCAGCATCCAGATCACCAACAGCAAACGCGTCGTCATCATGTGATCTATCATCAGTAGCAGCATGTGCTTCATTAACACCATCAAAATCCCGAAAATCATCCGATGCTTCACCACCACAATCATCGTCATCAGCAGTAGCATCGTCATCAGCAGCATCAGCAGCAGCATCCCCTTCATCTTCACCTAAGCGAGACCCAAGCGCGGCCGCCGCCGGTGGCATCGACCCGGGCCCTCTCATCACGAGCGCGGTGTCGAACGTCACCAACCTGGTGATCTTCGGCGAGCGCTTCGAGTACGGCGACACGGAGTTCGAGGGCATGGTGCAGATGTTCAGCGAGAACGTGGCGCTGGCGGCGAGCGCCTGGTCCTTCCTCTACAGCGCCTTCCCGCGCCTCGTGGGGGCGCTGCCCTTCGGCTCGCACCGCCGCCTCTTCGCCAACGCGGAGCGCGTGCGCGAGTGCCTCGTGAGCCTCACCGAGAAGTTCTCGCGCGGCCGCGTGCCCGGCGAGCCGAGGCACATGGTGGACGCCTACCTCGACCAGGTGGACGCGGCAGAGGAGGCGGCGGCGGCGGTGGCAGCGTTGGAGGCGTCGTCGTCGTCATCATCAAGAACAATGGCATCAGGATCACCAGAAACTACATCATCATCAATGTCATCGTCTAGGTTATCACCGCCACCATCATTGTCGTCTTTATCGCCATTATCACCGCCATCACCTACATCATCATCTACTTCACTACAACCACCATCATCATCATCACCGCCATCATCATCATCATCGCCACCATCATCACCACCATCATCACTACCACCACCACCATCATCATCACCATCATCACCACCACCACCATCATCAGCACCTACATCATCACCACCACCATCGCCTACATCACCACCACCATCGCCTACATCACCACCACCATTATCACCTACTTCACTACAACCACCATCATCATCCCCACCACCATCATCATCCCCACCATCATCATCATCACCTACATCCTCACCACCACCATCATCGTTCACGCGAGACAACATGATCTTCACGATCGGCGAGCTCTTCATCGCTGGAACCGAGACGAGCAGCAACACTCTGCGCTGGGCCATCCTCTACATGTGCCTCTACCCAGAGCTGCAAGGTGAGTGGGAGGGGGGGAGGGGATGGGGGAGGGGAGGGAGCGAGGGGGCCGTGATGCAAACAGCAGCGGTCTGATTTGAGTCTCAAGCGCTTGAGACTCAAATTGACACGGCGTGGGGAGGAGACCTTAATACAGCAGTGGATTGAACATTGGCTGTAAACCCATTCGTTAACTGTGTTTTTTAATTAATTGAATGACCGATTAAATCTGTGTTCTGCTCACGATGCAAGAATCGAATCGCGCGTCCAGGTATAGCTCTGGTGGTTGCCTCTGGGCTGATGAAGCGAACACCACGATACCAACGATACCAACGATATCACGATACCACGATACCAACAATACCAACCATACCACGATACCACGATACCAACGATACCACGATACCAACGATACCACGATACCAACATACCACGATACCAACGATACCAACAATACCAACGATACCAACGAGAGAGACGTCCATGACGCGTGATAATTACCCAGGAGTTGAACGCGTCCGTGAAGATATCCGCCCCCTTCCTAAATCACCCCCCCCCCCCCCCATCTGTCAACCCCCACTTCATTCCCCCATCACCCCAAATTATCTCTCCCGTAAACCCGCCTTCTCTCAAATCACACGACATCCCCATCCACCCCGTCCCGAAACCACTCTCTACTCAGCCCCGCCCCCCAACTCCGGGTCCTCCATGCCCCCCCCCCCCCGGCGCCCTTCCCAATCATCCCATCTTCCTCTCCCAATGTTGATGAGGACTCCTACAGTTTAGCAGAAGTCAGGCTAACAAATACAAGCGGCGGTGCTTCTGAATATTCTGAATATTTACAAATAAAAGGTCAAAAATAAATGTGAGTGCACCTCCCCCTCCCTTCCTCCCCCGTCTCCACTCCCGCAATATCCCCCTGCACATCATCCGCTCCCAATCATCACCCCCTCCTCCCCCTTCTCTCCATCCCTCCCCTCCCCAGACGATCTGCACGCGGAGCTGACGCGCGCGCTGCGCGGCGAGCGTCGCGCGCTCCGCCTGTCGGACCGCGCGCGCACCCCGCTGCTCGAGGCCACGCTCCACGAGGTCATGCGACACGCCACCATCGCGCCCCTCGGCATCTTCCGCGCGGCGACGCGCGACACCTCCCTCCGCGGCTTCGCGGTGCCCCGCGGCACCGTGGTGGTGGCCAACCTCCACTCGGCGCACCGCGATCCGAGCGCCTGGTCCCGCGCGCACGAGTTCCTGCCGCAACGCTTCCTCGACGCCGACGGCAGATTCGTGCGTCGCAAGGCGTTCGTGGCCTTCTCCATCGGTAGGTGGAGAGGGGAGAGGGGTGGGGTGGGGGACTGCTCGATAGGGGAGGGGTGGGTGTGTGTGGTGACTCTTCACTCCTCGCTCTGCTCCACCTCTCTGCATTCCCCAGCCTCTCTCTCCTCGCCCATCTTCCTCTCTCCTCCCGTCTCCTGTAACCTCACCCCCTCATCGCTTCCTCACCCCCTACCCCTCGCCTCCTCTCTGTTCACCTCATCGCTCACCTGCCACTCTCCTGCCATCGCCCTCCATCCCGCACCCCCATCAACCCGCCCCTTCCTCTTAACTCCCCCGTTGCCTTCCCCTTACCTCCACCCGCCCCCCCTGGCCCCCGACCGCACTCGCCCTTCCATCCCCCCCCCCACCTCTCCTCTTCTCTCCATTCTACTCACTCTATTCTCCAAGTCTCCCTCTCCACTCTTATTCCTCTCCTCTTTCCATTTTCCTCACCGTGCATCTCTCGTCTCACGTCATCTTCTTCCCTCTTCACCCCCCCCCTCTACATCCCTCTCAAAATCCTCCTCCGTCTCTCCACCCAACCCCATCCTCTCCTCTCTCCCCCCCCCCTCCTCCTCTTCCCGCCCCGTCACCCCCAGGCCGCCGTCACTGCGTGGGAGAGAAGCTGGCGCTCATGGAACTCTTCCTGTTCCTCGCCTCCATGCTGCACAGGTTCCGCTTCAGCCTGGCCGGGGGTGGCGCGCCCGACCTGCGGCCCCGCCTCGGCTTCACCCTGCAGCCGCGACCCTACCGCGTGAGCGCCACGCGGCGGTAGCGCGGGTGGCGCGGGTGGCCGCGTTAGGGGTGGCGTGGAGCGGGCGTGGGGTGGGACAGCCACCATCACCCAAAGGGCATCCGCGGCGGAGACTCAGGAACCATCGCGTTCGGAAGGTGGCCAACCGCTAAGGATGGAACGATCACCCGCTGTGAAATGGGGAACATCTCTTGGGGGGCCACCGGAGTAGGTTCGAATGAAGGTGCGAGGTGCCAGTCACAGGGTGGCAACCGCGAAGGACTGAACTATTGCCCGAGTGAGGATGACTGGAGACTGGAGAGAGAGAACGCCACCCTTTCTGCAGCGGTCACCGACGACTCCAAGGAGATGGGTTGGCAACCAGGGAGACGGAGCGGTCATCTGTGAGATGGGAACTACCTTCTGGGTGGCCACGGTCGAATAGAGAGGCAAGAGGGGTTCCATGTATAGGGTGGCCACCCGGGTGGCAACCGGGGATATGGAACTCTCTTTCCCAGAGATGCATTGGGGTTCCACTGAAGACAGAACGACAATTTATAGAACTGAACTCGCCGGGGGCATAAGGCAGTACGCTAACCGCTGCGCCACCACTCCCCTACCCCATTTAATAACGCACACGGGTGCACTTTAACTGAACGCACGCGTTGGGCTTGTTCCGCGTAAACTCGGCGTGCATCCGACAGGCAGATCGCTCGTTCATGGAATTTGCCAAACATCCCCATGTAGCAGGGCCCTCCAGACAAAACAACGTCTCTCGAGACCCGGCAAGTGTCCATCACGGGACGGCTGCTTCGTGAATGTCTGCAGTCAATTCGCTTCCATGGCAGGCGCGCCTCCTCGTTGACGATGGGCACGGCAGTCGACAGAGGCCACGTCTCGGATACTTTTATTGAACCCCACGCTCGCACATCGTCTCCCTCGTCAGCCCACTCCTTTATTTACAAGCCGCGACGCGCCGTGCCGCACCCTAAGGCAAGGGTTCTCACACCGCTGTCATTCGGTAATTACTGCACTACCCCCCCCCCCTCCCATTGGGGCACGATCTATCCACTGCTGGATGGAGGACTCCCCAAACCATCATCACGAGCGGTGCTGCGACACCACGATACATCCACACGTCCCTCATCGCTCCATCTCCTCCGCGGTGGTGACGGCCACCCTCGCGGGCGCGTTCCCTCCTTCGGCTGCCATTCCATCACTGATCTCGTCCATCGCCCATCATCGCCCATCATCCCTTCGAAGTCGCCCTGTCCTCTGAACCAATCTCGCCGAACTTTCCTCACAGTCGCTATTACGTCCGCTCGGCATAAATTATATATAGATACATCTGACGACTGTGTCCCTGTCTGTCTCTCTCTCCCTGCCGCTCGGTGTAAAGCCCATCGTGCTCGTCTCGCAACTTTCGTTCGCGCGGCTCACGCCTCCACGACGCTCCGACTGGCACCCTTCTCCAGGCGCCGTCGGTGCGCGCGCAGCCGCGCGGCGGCTCAGTGTAGGAGCCGGACAGTGGCGGGGGTGGTGGTGGCGATGCACGCGGCTCAGTGTGGGAGTCGGACAGTGGTGGTGGTGATGGTGGTGGTGGCGATGCACGCGGTTCAGTGTGGGAGCCGGACAGTGGCGGTGGTGGTGGCGGTGGTGGTGGCGATGGTGGTGGCGATGCACGCGGCTCAGTGTAGGAGCCTGACAGTGGTGGTGGTGGGGGTGGTGGTGGTGGTGGCGATGCACGCGGCTCAGTGTAGGAGCCGGACAGTGGTGGTGGTGGTGGTGGCGATGCACGCGGCTCAGTGTAGGAGCCGGACAGTGGCGGTGGTGGTGGTGGTGGCGGCGATGCACGCGGCTCAATGTAATCGCGCACCAGGGAGGCAGCAGCGAGGGTTGATGATGGATCCCCGCATTCCAACGCTGTGACAATCCCCGGTGCCACTGGGGAGGAGCCGTACCCTGGCTCTGCCAGGAGGAAAACAGGACAGCAAGAGGGCGCCGGCTGTTTCCATCTGTACGGGGATATTATTTCCCCCTCGCACGCAAGGTGCGGGGTTTCTCCGGGTGCTCCGGGTTCCTCCTCCCCACGTCAATAATACTACTAATAATAACCACACTAAACGCGACTCGTCATCCATTGGCTTGTTACAAATCAACACCCGCAGAGTCCTGCGACTCCTTGCTGTGTGGCCGCGCGCGTGTCCCGAGTCTCGCTGCCTGACGACGAAGGCGCCTCGCGGGGAGGCGCCCACACCGAGTGTGCCGCCTCGATCGGGCCCGGCAGACCACCGAGATCCACATCAATTATGGGGGGGGGGTGGTCCTATGCCCCCCTCCCCAGTGTAACCTAAGAGGCACTGTTACAATCGCTATCATCATTACAATCAAAGTACAATCGTTAATGTTGTTGTTACAGCAGTTTTGTGTTTAGAGAAATATGTTATAAAAGCTTAAAAAACGGACACATTTTCATCATCATCGTCGCCGTCGTCTTGACATCAGCGTCACTGTTATTGTTTTTACGTCGTGAACATCGTTCTTTCACCCGACGTTAAAAAACAACCTGGGTTGTAGATTTGGCACGGTGCTGCTGGTACGGGTTCCCCGATTGTATAACCCCCCCAACCACTCCCCCCACCATCACTGCTCTCAACAACACGTGGAACACACACACACACACAGTTCTCATCAGCGCTGTCACGCGTTTATCAATCATCAGGCGCGTGAAAGCGTGCAACGATTTAAAATATACATTTAAAAAAAATAATTATCGTTTTAGTTCACAGACGACATTGGGTAAATGCTGGAGCGTCGCTCGCACACGTGTGGAAGCGTTCTGCACAACCGGTCACTGGTTCCTCGTTTTTCACTGCACAACCGAGCCGTGCCAGTATTGTTTTTCCCACTCTGTAGAAGCCGAGCCGTGCCCTTGACGGCACACGCAATTCGCACATTATCAGCCCCGTCTCTGGCCCTGTTTGGCCTGCCAGCCAGATCCAGTCGTTTTCTTGTGATGCCGGCAGCACACATGTCACGATTTTGGTTTCGTCTCAGCTTTGCCAACTGATCCAGTGGGGGAAAAAAAAACTACCACCCGTGCCATGCTGGCCCCGTGCTGGCTCGGCTCGGATATACAAGTGGAAACGGGGTATTGTTGCTGGAAACAATGTGCGACCGCTTGCCAGCACGCGCGCCAGTGTGAATTTGGTGAGCTCCCTTTTATTTAGCCATGTTCGCGGTCAACGATGACCGCTGAAGTGGTCAATGGCCACATCGAGTCCAGTCTGTGGCCTCCCATGTGGTCATTCTCTTAGCCTCGTCCACTGTAAGGGGCATTCCCCCCCCCCTCCCCCAATTTATGATCAGTTCAGGCAATCAATGAACTCGGTAAATCTTCAACACGTTTGTAGCCAATGACCGCGTGCAATGCCACTATGAGATCATCTCGGACCACGTATTCATTCAGACTCTATAGCCTCGTCTCGTCACAGTCAGGCATGCTCGCTCTGTGGTGGTGATGGTGGTGGTCATGGTGGTGGTAGTGGTGGTTGTGCTGGTAAGTGGTGGTGGTGGTGATGATTGTAGTGATGGTGAAAATGATGGTATGGTAGTGGTGGTGGTGATGATGGTTGTGGTTATAATGGTTGTGATAGTGGTGGTGGTGGTGATGATGGAGATGATGGTTGTGATGGTGGTGGTAATGATGGTGATGATGATGGCAGTGGCGATGGTGGTGATGTTGAGTGGGCAGCAGTCGCAGTCCTCGTCACGTGAGTCGACCATCTTCGTTCACTTGTGGCCCTGACGGCGGGCACTCGAGAGCAACCCGACACCCCGCGGCCCATCAACGTGCACGCGGCCGCACGATGCTGCCGCCTCCTTCATTGTCCAGCAACGTCCACGCGGCCGCACGCTTCAACGTCCAGCAACGTCCGTGATAAAAAATAAAATAGAGAAGTCAAACGGAGCTCGCTCGCACACCCGGAGTGCCGTCCGCTGGATGCGTTGCTGCTCGCTTAACCCTTTGCTTGCTTTTCCTTTCGACATTTTTATTAAAAATAGACCTCTGTGTGTGTGTATTTGTTTGTAATTAGTAAGCAAGTTGTTTTTAATAATATTATTAATATCTAGAAAAAATAGTAATCAAAGAAAAACGATGGTAGTAATCAGAGGAATATCAAACGGTATTGCTATTATCGTAGGCGGTATTTATAGGAGGAAGTCATCGTCGTCTTTTGAAGTCATCAGCACTGCCCGGACGCTGCTCCCACTGCCGACGCTGCTCCTCAAGGCTTGGGCTGCTCCGGGTCGAGATCAAGGTTGGGGTCGCGGTCAGCGATGAGGTCGGGGGGGGATAGGGAAGAAAAGCGAGAGCGGAGGATGAGCGAGTGAGCACCGAGGGAGGTCGCTCCTTCTGTTCTGCTGCTCCCAACGCCTCGAACTCCGTCTCTCCCAGACATCCCGTGCTGTCGGCTCATTTTGGCCGGGAATCCAACTTGGGTCGAGCTGGGTTTGTGTGTCACAAACCACTCAAAGGCAAGTGACCTCATATACAGACAAATATTCCCCATATAGCCTTTAACAGACTGTTGGGGCAAGTGCTGTTAGCGAGCACCTTTGAAGGCCCCCACGGCATGTAAGAGGATGAGTGGGAAGCACCAATCCCAGCCGCCTTTGTCTCCCCAATGGTGATGCACCAGGTGCTCATTTGAGGCTTAGTCAACTTAGGGGAGGCCCAGGAACCGGTTTGGTTAATTAGTCACTACTTTTGACCGCGAGCGGAAACCGAACTTGGGTCACCGGGGTTGTTGCACATCGCCAACTACTGCACCACCACCCCCCGCATGCAAACGCGCACACGCGCACACAGACACGCGCACACAGACACGTGCACACAGACACGCGCACACAGACATGCGCACAAACACGCGCACACAGACACGCTCACACAGACACGCGCACACAGACATGCGCACACAGACACGCACACAGACACGCACACAAATACGCGCACACGGACACGCACACAAATACGCGCACACAGACATGCGCACAAGCGTACACAGACACGCACACACACACGCACGCAGCGCGGTCCCTTACTGGAAGACACACGCGTGTGTGCGCGAGCGCGCAATCGGCGCGTCACACGAAAACGTCGTTCGCCTCTTCGCTGAGCGAGGCGCATCGCTTCCTGGCTGCCGTTCCCCCGCGGCGATCGCCGGATCGGCAAAGCCAACACGTCGGGCGGGGGGGTGGGGGGGCAGCGTGGGGGGCACACGCGGGAGGGTTGGCGTACGAGACGGGGAGAGATAGCACGGGAGATGGGGAGAGGGAGATGGACAGAGAGCACAGGTAGCAGCTGGTTAGCTGGGCATGCATTAAAAGCGCAAACACAAATGTTCCGCAAACATGAGGTTGTCATGTTTGGCTTCGCAGGGTCAAGAGTGAAGGGAGGCATGCTCACACCATCATTTCAGCGGAAGCTGTCCGGGGCTCAGCGTGTGCAGGAATGTGTTCGTGTGTGCGTGCCTGGGTGTATGTGTGTGTGCATGTGTACGTGCGTGTGGTCATCTCGGTCAGTCGACCAGTGGCACCTGCTGGGTCTGCCCCGTGACCTCCTGCCAGCGGGCGTTCGACACTTCACGTGGCCTCAAGGTGCACTTGGCCTGGCACAAGCGTCGTGGTGACGTCACCGCCACTTAGTGGCGAATGGCGGTTGTTGTTGTTGTTGTTGTGCATGTGTACATGTGTGTATACGCGCGTGTATGTGCGTGTGTGTGTATACGCGCGTGCATGTGTACGTGTGTGCGTGCATAAACGTGTGTATGCGTGTGTGTGTGCGTGCGTGTGCGTACCGGCCACGGCCTTGCTGCGGCGTGACGCCTCGCTAGCGAGTGCGTGTGACATGCTGATGATCCGCTCCTGGTCCTCGCTCACACCGGGGACCTCCGCCTCGCCGCCTGGCGCCACCGCCACCGGCACCGCGTGCCCGCTGCGTCGCGCACGTGGGAACGCACAGGAACACACACACACGCAGGAACACACGCAGAAACACGCACACGCGTGCGAGTATAAGCGAGCGTGAGTGTGTGCGAGCGAGTGCGAGTGTGTGCGAGCGAGCGTGAGTGTGTGCAAGTGTGTGCGAGTGTGAGTGTGTGCCAGCGTGACACCTTGAACGAGCTAGCAGGTTTTGGATCTTGGCGACCGTCCGTCTCCGTGCCTCCATCTCCTCCGGGCCCAGGGCCTCCTCCGGCTCCATCTCCATGTAACGTTCCGGGATCACCACCTTGTCTGGCCGGCCCAGCTGGGGGAGGAGAGAGCATCACCAGTACCATCATCGTCGTTATCATCAACAGCGTCAACATCATCGTCATATTACCAACACTGTTGTCACCTATACATCATCGCCATCGTTATTATAATGCGCATTGCCATTCTGGTAATCACCATCACAAAGAGACCTATATAAGTATACGGTCCATGGGCTATGTTTTACTCGATTATCCTTATGTGAGACTACGGATCCTACGCGAGTCTGCAGGTCTCACCCCGAGTCTACAAGTCATATGGGCCGAGTGTTTGAGCTGCCGCTGAGCGAAACCCACACGGACGAGTGGTGCGTGAGCACAGCTGTTAGAAACAGCGCCACCGCGTCTATCGTGGCAAGCCGTTACGCAACCGCCACGGTGGCCAGAGGGGTCGGTGGGTCAGCCGGCGGGAGATAAGAGGGGGAGCGGTAGCCTCCGTGACCTGGCGGGGGCTCGGGGGTGGGGGTCAGTGGTCTGAGCGTATGTCGCGGGCGTGATCCGCGTACTCACCAACTCTGCCCCCCCCACCCCCGGTCGCACGGTACCCGCCCGGAGACGCTGGCCGGTTGACCAATCACGCACTTGCAGCGTGAACCAACATTACTAAAGTGTTTCAATAAAGTGATCTCCCGCTCAGCATTGATCTCCCGCTGCGGATCCATCTCCTGGTTAGGGTCCTGCAGAGCCAGCGGTGAAATTACGCATTCCTATGGAAAGGGGGGGGGGGCGAGTCTCTCCAAAGGCCACAGCGCCGACACCAAATGTATTTAATTAAGATGAATTACTAATTAAGGTCAAAGGCCGTGGCACGGCACCGGAGGGCGGTGAGAAGCGACCGCGAGCGAGGGCCGAGAGGTCACGGTGGAGCTCACCTCCTTGAAGAGGTCGACCTCGTAACTGTCCGGCTCCACGTCGATCTCCGTGATCCCATCGCGACCCCGCGGCGCCGAGCTCCTCTCGGCTCTGGGGGGGGCTGCTGGGGGGGCTGCGGGGGCGGGGGGGGCCGAGGAGGAGGAGGACCGGGGGGGGGCACCACCGTCCCACCCCCAGCTGACCGCCGAGCCCCCCGACGGGCGAAGCTCCGACTCCTCGGGGTCCCAGTGCTGCTGCGAGGGGGGAGGGGGGGGGGACCGGTGGCGTAGCTGTTGAGTGCGCAGGCGGTGCTACGGCACCGGGGCGCCTAGCGGGCCGGAGGGGCCAGCCCCCGGGCTACGAAGGAAGGGGCGCGGGGGGGGGGGAATTGGCGAGGGCCCCACCGTGTCGTTGCTCACGCCAGGGCCCGTGCCAACCGCGTGGTGCCACCTGCACGAACCAACTCCCCCGCAACAAACAATCACAAGCCTGTGATAGGTACTGACCGGCGTGGTGAAGTATGGTCAAATAACCCCCGACAACCCACGCGGCGTGGGGAGGCACTCATCCACCAGCAGAGCATCGCGAGTGCCACAAATGGCAATCTTCCGATAGAGCGACGCACAGATGGATTTCGGGAACGCGTGTGTGTGTGCATGTGTGTGTGCGTGCGTGTGTGCGTGTGCGTGCGTGTGTGTGTGCGTGCGTGCGTGTGCATGCGTGTGCTACTTATCTGGGACGGCTTGCTCAACCAACCCCGGGTCCCGACTTTTCAGGTCACATGACCTCTGCTTGCCTGACCCGCACGGCATCGTGGGTAAGCTTGCATCTCTCTCCGCAAGGTGACGCCAATGCGGCGGGGACGGCCCCCATCCCCATGGCCGGCACCGGGAATCGAACCGTCAGACTCACGTGTGTGGCACTGTGACCGCATAACCACCGCATAACCACCTGTGCATGCACCACTTGTTGGGGTAGTAGGACAGAGGAGGAGGGGGGGGGCTGGGTAGTTTGAATGCAAATGCCGAGTCGCGAAGTTGACGCTGCGAGTTGATTATTAAACAGGGGTGATGCGATCCCGTGTCGCAATGGGGCAAATGGTAGTGGCTGCAGGCGAATCGATAGACATTGACGTCTATCGGTTGATGCGTAGTGACGTGAGCGATTCCATGAGTGTAATCGCGATGATTAATCATCGATGAATAGATAAACAAACCAACATATATCAAGAGACAATGAGCGCGTCGAAGCCCTCCATTTGTAAATCCACTGCAGGACGAAACGTGGCGGTACGTCAGGGACCGATAAACGTCGCTGTGACAATCGATGCAGGACGCGCCGCCCGCTATTTAATCCGTTCGGCCGCTTCGGGTGGTGGTGGTGGTGGTGGTGATTGGTGGTGGAGGGTTCCACGACACAAGAGCAAAAACGTTGGGCCAGATCATTACGCGGAACGAACCTAAGAAGCGATCCAACAACAACAAACGTCGCGTCGTTCGACCCCCGATTAATAAAACGCGCCAGCGAACTCGGACGTAACGGAGCAGGAGGGCACAGGAGGGCACAGGAGGCCACAGGAGGGCACAGGAGGGCACAGCGCCAGGCCGGAGCGGTGGCGCGGAGGAAGACGCGGGAAGGACCGCAGATCCGGATCCTGGATCAGAGGATCCCGGGGGATCGGAGGCTCCACATGCAGGAACAACGACAACGGAGACACGCAGGGCGGCCGCGTCACTCGCGTCAGAGTCTCACCACACGGGAGGCGTCAAAAACCGTCGCGGTGCCAAAGAAGGAATGAGCAGCGGTGGCACCACGACGACGGGTCACAGACCATCGCCAAAACAAAAGAAAACAAACAAAAGAAAACAAACCAAAGAAAACTAAATAAAACAAAAGAAACAAACAGGAGGCAGCGGCGGAGCGCAGGCAGACGAACCGTCCTCCTCGCGTTTATTTTGATCATCAGCATGCCCGACGACGCGTTAAGGCTGAGCGGGGGAGGGAGCGAGCGAGCGAGCGGGAGGGGAGGGAGGGCAAGAAATGAGCGGCCGGCTATCTCAGGACACCTCGTTAGGTCGCATAATTAGGCAACATGATTTGGTCGCCTAATTAGGTTGCATAATGAGGTCACCCCTCACCTCCTCTCCCTGCCCTGGCTGCCAGAGGGGGGTGAAAAGGGGGGTGAAGGAGGGGGGTGGGGTTGGACTCAGTGGGGATAATTTGCCAGCAGAGCGCACCACAGTCCACAACTGTGCGCCCCCGGTCGTCACCAACCAGCCGCACTGACCAGCGTGGTGAAGTATGGTCAATCAAATCCACATAAAGCCGCAGGGCCTGGGGCAAGCGAATATGCCGCCCGTCGCAGAAGTTTCACGGCCCTGGTTGATCCTGCGGCTGCCAGGGCAGTGGGCAGTGACCGGAGGGCAGCGAGGGGCAGCGAGGGGCAGGGGCGTGGCCTCGCCCGCCCAGACGAGCGCTCTAATCGTGAGCCTTGGCTCGACGCTTTAAACCGCAGTGTGAGTCACCGCTTACAAACAGAGGTACAGCCGTGGACGAGCCTGAATGACGGACGGGTGAGAGAGGGGACGGGGGAGAGCGGGGAAGGGAGACGAGGCGAGAGAGAGAGGAGGAGGGAAGAGGGTGCACGGGAGGAGGGGAGGGACAGGACAGGGAAGAGAGATGGGGAGGAAAGAAGGCATGGAGAGAGAAGGGGGAGTTCCGGGAGGGCAGGAAGATGAAGGCAGTTGACAAGTAGAGAGAAGGGCAGCACCAGGGCAGGGCAGTTGAGGGGTCTGGGTCATTGGTTGGATGCGCGTGCGTGATCGCCAATTCACCGCGCTGCTCTCACCCCCCCCCCCACCCCCCCCCGCTTCCCGCTTGCTCTAACCACCTCGGGCGGGAGCTGCGGAGAAGCGGGCAGCAGACCCCGTGCCCACCCCGAGCCCCCGCCTGGGGCCGCTGGCGCTTCCCGACACGCGCCGAGGCCGGGCGGTGGCCGGCGCTCTCGCCCTACCATGCCCGGCCAGGCGGAGGGGACCGTCGCCCCGGCATGGGTCTCCCGGTTCGGTGGATCGGTCCGACTGTCGCCGGGGTCGGCGTGCCGAATGGCGACGTCCCGCCCGGAGTTCAGTCCGTCTCGGGAAATATCGACGAGAAGTTATCGAACCGCCATGCCCCACCACCCCCGTCACGACGGACGACGACGACGCACGAACGCTTTCAAACCGGCGTCGGGAAGCGCAGGCGAGGAAAAACAACGAGGGCATCACACGGTGGTGACGACGACAACAGCGGTGACGACAAATACAATCGGAGGCCAAGGCATGGGGAGTGCGCGGCGCATGGGGGGGGGTGGGGGGGGTATTTGAGTCCGCAGTCTCGGCCGGGGCGGCTACGTGACCGGAGCAGGAGAAGGGGCGGTGCACGGCTCAGACGCGCCGGAGGCCCCGGCTACGGTCCCAGTCCCCCGCCGGAGTCGGACCGATCACACGTTACCGTTCGCAGACCGGTGTCGGTTGTGGCCCCGCCGCATTTTGAAGGCCGCACGCCAAAGGCCACACGGCTTGGACAACGGCGGTGCCGCGTGGGCTCATGGAGCGGCGGCGCTTCCGTTGTTGTTGTTGTGAGGCTCATGAGGTTAATGTCATCAACCGCTGAGAGAGGTGAAATAATCGGGACCGCGAGCCGCTTGGCAACCGGCGCTGCGTGGCTCCCCGCTGGGTTAGGGGTCGTCCGACCCACGACGTCCGACGTTTCGTGCCCCGCGTGCTCGGGAGCCGATTCGGGCAATTTTTTTGTTCTGTTTCGGTTCCGCCCGGCGAGCGCTGCGAAACGTCGGACATCGCGCCCTGCGACGCGCGGCACGATCCTAGAAGCACGTGGGCAGCGCAAACCGCGAGATCCGGGGCCACAGCGCCAGCGGAGTTAGTAGGGCAGCTGCGTCCTCTACGCCGGCGTTAGTCCGATCGATGTGGAACTCACTCGTCAATAACGCCGTGCGTGGCCTTCGAAGCCGACGGCACGACAATCGACGTTTCGGGCAATGGCCCATATTCACAGCGCATTATTGACGAGCGTGTTGAGTTTTATTTTGGTGTTAGTTTTTGCGAGCGCACTACTACCGACACAGCGTTGCCACTAAATGATTTGTCGAATCGCGGCGGAGATGATTTGCAGTGACTGCAGGTTAGGGCAGGACGAAGACCACACGCACGGACGGACAGGCGGGACGGACGGAGGGCAGAGTGGATCGTGGGAAAGCAGAGGTGGTGTGTTATGGGAAGGGTTAGCGGTCACCAGTGCAAACACCAGAGCATCGACTCCGATTCCCAAACCCCAAGCGTGGCCGCATGGGATGGACGGCAGCCCATGATGGACAGTGAACAGAGCGGTAGCGCATCTACCCACTGGCCTCCCCACTGGTCTACTCATCAATCTACCCACCTATCTACCCGCCAGTCTATCCACTGACCAAACTATCCACTAATCTACCTGTCAATCAACCCACTGGGCTACCCCCCCGTCACCCCCAGTTCACGTGGATCGAGTCAGGCAAAGGTTAAAATATAGGACCGCAGAGCTCGGGCAACCGGTTTTTCAGCTGCCCTCCTCTGCGCGGCGCGGTCACCCATGGCCTCCCACCCCTCCGCTCGGAGTCCGACATGCAAATTATTTAATTGGGTTAAACTGCCCCCCCCAAACCCCGCCCCCCCCCTTCCCCCCACCCCCTACTGCTAACACGACTTGACCTGTCTGTGAAATAGCGGCGGGTTGCTGCGCGGTGGCCCTTGAAGGACGATCGCGCGACGACAGCACGGGGGCCGAATGGCGCTAACCTTACAATCCTTCACTCCCACCACCAGCACCACCAGCACCACGCCCGGTGACATTTTAAACCGCCGCCAGGCAGCGTGAAACAAAAACGTGGTGGGGTGAACGCCCGAGTTAGAAACCACGTGACGTGGCGGCACGGCACGGCATCGAGGGGGCTCGCCGCCCAGACCATTTCATTTGAAGCTCTCAGCAACACGTCTCCTGAGCCATCGCTCTCCCTGCAAGCTTCAATCTCTTACATCTCCACCACGTCTCGTGAACCACTCTCTTAGATCCCCTCTCTCTCTCCACCATCTATCACGAACCTCCCTCCCTCCCTCTCTCTGACACGTCGCTCGCAAACATTCCCAGGCCTCTGCCTTCGTCTCAGTGCAACGATTCTCACCTCCATGAGACCAACACAACGGCCACCGTGACACTTAGCCAGCATCATTATCGTATCATCACCTTGACTCCATATCACCCACGCTCTCCCCTCCACTTATCCATCTCTCTTCCTCAAACCCTGCTCTTCATTACATGCTACATCTTCCCGTCTGTCTGTATCGTCTCTCTCCGTCTCTCTCCGTCTGTCTCTCTCCCTCCGTCTGTCTGTATCGTCCGTCTCTCTACGCTCAGGCGACCCCCCCCCCCGCCCCCCGTGCCGCAGTGCAAAGGTCACGATCGCGCGCACTCAAGAGCTGGCGCGGAGACAATGAGTGAACCGAGATCCCAACACAGCCACAATCATCTCTCCAGCGTCAGTGACACCGATCACAATAGTCGTTAATAATAATTAATAATAATAATCAATCATTAATAGTGGTTATGATTATAGATCCCAGACGGGAGTTCTACAGTGAAGGCACCGTGACCCTAACCCCCCCCCTCCGACTCTCTCTCCCCATCACTCCCACCACTCTCTCTGCAACACTCCCAATAATCTCTCCCCAACACTCCGAACACTCTCTCTCCAAAACACTCTCTCTGCAACACTCCCAATAATCTCTCCCCCCCCCAACACTCCAACAACGCTGGAACCCCTCCCTCTCTCTCCCGCGTGCAGCGAGCGAGCGAGCGCGCGTCATCACCAACGTACGTATGCGAACGAGGCGGAGTGCGGGCGTGCGGGGAGCGTGGCCGTGCCACCGGCGGCAGCCCTGCTGTTCGCCAGCGCGCCACCGCCGCCAGCTGCGGTTGCAGCGCTAGCGCCACCGCCGCGCTTGTCCGACGCCGAGCTGAGCGAGCGCTTGCGCTGCCGCTGCAGGGTTCGCTGGTTCCGCTTCATCCGCGCCAGCTGCTCCTCAGCACTCATGCGGCCGCCGCCGCCGCCGCCGCCGGAATAGAGACGCTCCAGGGCGCTGCGGGGTCGGTCCCGCTGGGCGGGCACGCGCAGGGGGGGACACGTGTGTGAGCGTGAGTGTGTGTGTTGGTGCGATAGTGTAGCGGTTAGCACACTGCGCGATGAACCCAGCGACCCGGGTTCGATTCCCCCTCACAACCAACACCAGTGACGATTATCTGAACCAGTACTGGGCCTCCCCTAGGTCGACTAAGCCTCAAATGAGTACCTGGTGCGGTGTGTAAACATCGCCACTGGGGAGACAAAGGCGGTCGGGCGTGGTGCTGGCCACCCATCCCCTCGTGTACCGTTCCAGCCTTCATAGGTGCTCGCTAACAGCACTTACAGTCTGTTAAGGCTATACGGGGGATCTTTGTCTTTGTGTTGGTGCGTGTGTGTTGGTGTGTGTGTGTTGGTGTGTGTTGGGGCATATGTGTTGGTGTGTGTGTGTTGGTGCGTGTGTGTTGGTGTGTGTTGGGGCGTGTGTGTTGGTGTGTGTGTGTTGGTGCGTGTGTGTTGGGGTGTGTGTGTTGGTGTGTGTGTTGGTGTGTGTGTGTGTGTTGGTCCTTGTGTGTTGGTGTGTGTGTGTGTGTTGGTGCGTGTGTGCGTGGCGAGCGGTGGCGCAGCGGTTGACTCACTGCACCGCAAACCCGGCGACCCGAGTCGGACTCCCGCTGACAGCACAACATCGGTGAAGATGATAATTATCTGGACTGGCACTGGGCCTCCCCCCTGGGTCAAACCAACCTCAAACGCGTCACCGGTGCGGTGTGTAAACAACATGAGCACTGGGGAGACAAAGGCGGCCGAACGTGGTTGCTAACCACACAACCCCCTTGTGTGCCGTGTCGGCTTTAATAGGTGCTCGCTAACAGCCCCAACAGCCTGTTAAACGCTCTACGTGGGGTCTTTGTGTCTGTGTGTGGTGAACCCGTTAACACTGCTGCGGGGAGCAGAAATTGCTCCTGAAACTGAACACCGGCTACCGGTTAATCAGTTATGGTGTTGCTGGTTAAGGGTGACCGGTTTTAAGGATTATCGGTTAAGGGTTACCGGTTACAGGTTACGGGTTTACCGGTTCATGGCCCTGGGCACAACCCCGTACCTGTGATGAGACGTTGGCCTCCGTCTGGCTCCGTCGAAGCGTCACGAAGGAGGAGACGGAGAGCATCTGCGATTGGCCTGCAAGCACACCAACAACCGTCATGGTTCAGCCAGGATCTATCCACTGCTGGACGGAGGCTTCAACCCCAAAGTCGTCGCCATCTCTCTCTCTCTCACGGTCGAGGATTCATCTTCAGCCGGGTTCATTCAGAGTCTGCTACGACCCGAAAGATATTTCTGTTCCCGGCACACCACGTCGAGGAGACCGTTGTGGCTGCTATGAGCGAGGGAGGGAGGGGAGGATGGAGGGTACCTGGGAGTGTTGATCTGTAGAGGGAGGACGAGGGATCGCTGTTGGCTCCGATGGAGAGCTCGGGCTCACTCTGGGGAGGAGAGAGCACGGAGCGGAGACTTGGATCAAACATCGTCATCATCATCGTTATCATCATCGTCATCATCATCGTCGTCGTCATCATCGTCATCATCGTCATCGTCATCATCGTCATCATCGTCATCGTCATCATCGTCATCATCGTCGTCGTCACTGTCATCACCATCATTGTCATCATCATCGTCGTCGTCATCGTCATCGTCATCATCGTGACTGGCCTCAACAGAACACAGAGGGGGGGAGGGACGGTGGGGGGGGCCCCTCACGTGGTACTGGTAGTCCCCATTAGTGAGTCCGCCGTGCTCCCGGTCTCTCCGCCGCTCGCCCGACTGCCGCTTGAGCTCGCGCACGGACGTGTGGCGCAGCGCCTGCGTCTCCCTGGGCAGGGGCGGCACGTCGGGGGGGCGCCCCCCCTCGGCCGACGGTGATGGAGGCTGCTCCCCCCCCATGGCCGCGGCGTCGTCGGGGGAGTAGGCGCGGGGGAGAGGGGGCCGTGGGGGGGCGCGCTCCTCCTCCTCCTCCAGGTAGCGCTGAGACGGAGAGAGGGGGAGGGGGGCACGGGCGCTCATTCACCTCTACACACTCACCTCTACACTCACCTGTCAACACTCCCCTGTCAACACACTGACCTCTATAAATTCACGTAAAAGCCCCCATATAGGGTTCAGTGTTAATTACCGAGGCTGACCGAGCCAGACTAAGGCCGAGAAGGAGTGAACCCGGCCGGCCAAGCCGGCCCCGGCGTGCGTGTCGCGCCGTACCTCGTAGTTGCGAGGCGGCGGGGGGGGCTCGTACCCCCGGTCCACGGGTGCCCCCCCGCGGGGCTGGGGGGCTTCGTCGCGGGTCGACCCATCTGTGCGGCGGCGGAAACACGCAGACGGAATCAGCGACATTTCCCTTAAACTTCCAGGGTTTCCCGAACACCTCCAATCTCGCAAGATCGAGCTTGGCTCCATCGAACCCTCCCACCAAGGCCCCCCCCCCTCTCTCTCCCTGCCACTGGGTGGTGTTGCTAGCGGTCGCGCGGTGCGATGCTGTGCCATGTGGTGTTGTGCCGTGCTGTGCTGTGCCGAGCGGCGTTGTGCTGTGCGAACGATTTCCCCCGCAAACCACAGATCTGCGCGGCTCAACAATCCTGGTGTGCAGCGTGATGTGGTGGCTGCCCTTCCTGTACAGCGACGACTCCTCCTGGCTCCCGTACGCCCCCCCCCCCCGCCTCCCGCCACCTTCCCCATGCTCACCTCGCTGCCCCGCGCTGCCCACGTACTGCAGCCCGCGCAGGACGTCCTCCATGCGCCACAGCTGCTTCTGCAGGCGGGCGGCCGCGGGCGCTCCCGCCGCGGGCCCCAGCCGGGCAAGCTGGGCCGCGGCGGCATCCTGCAGGCCCCGCGCCTCCCTCTCCAGGCCGCGGCGCTCCTGCATGACGCGCTCCCACTCCTGGGGGGGTCACGGCGAGGTCAGGGAATGGTCGCGGCGTGCTCACGGTGGTGGTGGTGGTGACAGTGGTGGTGGTGACAGTGGTCGTGGTGCGTGAAGGTGTTTGAGCGTGCGTATGGGTGCGTGCAGGTGCGTGTGGGTGCGTGTGGGTGCGTGTGGGTGCTTGTGGGTGATTGAGGGTGAGTGAGGGTGCGTGTGGGTGAGTGTGGGTGCGTGTGGGTGTGTGTGGGTGATTGAGGGTGAGTGTGGGTGAGTGTGGGTGAGTGTGGGTGCGTGTGGGTGAGTGTGGGTGCGTGTGGGTGCGTGTGGGTGTGTGTGGGTGCGTGTGGGTGTGTGTGGGTGAGTGTGGGTGTGTGTGGGTGTGTGTGGGTGTGTGTGGGTGAGTGTGGGTGAGTGTGGGTGAGTGTGGGTGAGTGTGGGTGCGTGTGGGTGAGTGTGGGTGCGTGTGGGTGAGTGTGGGTGCGTGTGGGTGTGTGTGGGTGAGTGTGGGTGCGTGTGGGTGTGTGTGGGTGCGTGTGGGTGCGTGTGGGTGAGTGTGGGTGCGTGTGGGTGTGTGTGGGTGCGTGTGGGTGTGTGTGGGTGAGTGTGGGTGTGTGTGGGTGTGTGTGGGTGCGTGTGGGTGCGTGTGGGTGCGTGTGGGTGAGTGTGGGTGTGTGAGTGTGGGTGAGTGTGGGTGAGTGTGGGTGCGTGTGGGTGAGTGTGGGTGCGTGTGGGTGAGTGTGGGTGAGTGTGGGTGCGTGTGGGTGCGTGTGGGTGAGTGTGGGTGCGTGTGGGTGTGTGTGGGTGCGTGTGGGTGAGTGCGTGTGGTTGCGTGTGGGTGATTGAGGGTGCGTGTGGGTGAGTGTGGGTGAGTGTGGGTGCGTGTGGGTGAGTGTGGGTGAGTGTGGGTGAGTGTGGGTGAGTGTGGGTGAGTGAGGGTGAGTGTGGGTGAGTGTGGGTGAGTGTGGGTGCGTGTGGGTGAGTGTGGGTGAGTGTGGGTGAGTGTGGGTGAGTGAGGGTGAGTGTGGGTGAGTGAGGGTGAGTGTGGGTGAGTGAGGGTGCGTGTGGGTGAGTGTGGGTGATTGAGGATGCGTGTGGGTGAGTGAGGGTGCGTGTGGGTGATTGAGGGTGAGTGTGGGTGCGTGTGGGTGAGTGTGGGTGAGTGAGGGTGAGTGAGAGTGCGTGTGCCCGTACCGAGTTGGAATGCGAGATCTGAGCCAGCAGTTGCACCAGGTCCTCCTGCAGCAGCCTCTGCTGGTACAGGATCTTCTGCTGGTGGGCCGGCTGGCCCCGGAACTCCTGCATCTGCCGGTGCGTGGTCTCCAGCGCCTCCTCCAGCCGCGCCTGCCACGGCGCACGGAGGCACGCTCGGTGTACGCGGAACCGAATTGCCCCCCCCCCCGGGTCTCCGCAACGCACAACCGGTTGCTCGCGCGAGGGTCGCTCTCGACTGCCGAGCGTTGGGCTGACGATTGATTTGTTTACCCGGGAAAGCCACGATGAGCCCAGAGACCCCCCCCCCCCTTTCACGAGGGGCCCACGTTGGGCTGTTTGGGCAATGTCGGTGGGGCCCGTCGGATGGAACGACCTCCCTCCGTAGCCGACGCCGCGTGCGTGCGGGAGGCCTCCATCCAGCAGTGGATCGACCAAGGGGATGTGCATTCCTCCAGTCGGGCCTTACAGGAAATGCAGACCCCCCCCACACCACCGTTTGGCGAACAAAGCAAAACGGCCCCTTGCAGCAAAAAATGTCGACGATGTGGAGCGGTTGGAAAACAACTGCGGCCGAAACAATCCGTGGACTGTGATTCGGTGTTTGTTTTATTTCTCAAATTGCTTTCGCGACGACGCAATGGATATTTTGCCGGGGCTTTCACTCATTTGTCCCGCACGACAGCTCGGTATTTATTCAATATACGCGCGTGTGTGTGTGTGTGTGTGAAAACGTATGAATTATATTACACACGTGTGTGTATTTATAATTATATGCTGCTCACTGTAACCGCTGCTCAATGTGGTCTTGCATTCATCAATTTGGCCTGAAACCAAATCCACTCTCAATGCATCCATGTTTCTTTGCAAAGCTAGGACCGAGAGCAATCCTTTATTCTGTTATTTTTTTATTTCTTGCTGTTCTGCTAGTTCTACCCAGGGAAGCATCGCCGAGTCTCAAGACTCTTTTTCAGGAGGGTCCTGCCAGGTGTTTGCAGGCGAGGAAAGCAATGTTGTTGTTGTTGCTGCTGCTGTGAAATCCCACACGGAGTGTTCTGCAGGTGGATTTTCAGCACTGGGATGTTTTGGACAATACCGGTGACATTGGGAGGTCGCTCGTTCCGTAGCTATGGGAGGAATGCGGAGAACCCAGAGGAGAGCCGTGCCGAACAGGGGGAGAGAATGTACAAACTCCGCGCACTCACTCACACTCTCACGTAGATTTTCACTCACTCACACTCATAGCTTGCAGACCATCGGGAGAACATACAAACTCCACGCAAAAATGCACCCAGGTCAGGAGCCGAACCCACGAAACTTGCTTATCGCATGCACTCTTCGCTGCAACAGTCGCCGTTTTGATGGGCGACGAGGGTTGCGTTTAAACCGGAGCACGTGCCTGGAGGACGGTTCTGTGACAGGGTGCCCCCCCCCACGTTCCCTACGCTGACGCCGGTGGCCTTGTGGCGGCAGCGCCGAGTTGGCGGGCGGAGGTGCGGCGAGCGGCGCTCACCTTATCATCCTGCAGCTGCTGGAGGTGAGCGGTGAGCGAGCGCAGTGACTGGTCCTCCTCGCACAGACGCCCCAGCCGCAGCTGTCGAAGGCACACGGCGTTACCAGAGGTGGCGGGGTAGGAGGGTCACGTGGGGCCACCAGGGGGTCAACCAGGGAACAACGTGAGGTAGCCCCTGCCGCGGTGGTGGTGGTGTTGGCGGTGGTCGTGATGTTGGCGGTGGTGGTGATGTTGGCGGTGGTGGTGATGTTGGTGGTGGTGATGTTGGCGGTGGTGGTGATGTTGGCGGTGGTCGTGATGTTGGCGGTGGTGGTGATGTTGGCGGTGGTGGTGATGTTGGTGGTGGTGATGTTGGCGGTGGTGGTGATGTTGGTGGTGGTGATGTTGGCGGTGGTGGTGATGTTGGCGGTAGTGGTGATGTTGGCGGTGGTGGTGATGTTGGCGGTGGTGGTGGTGATGTTGGCGGTGGTGGTGCGTATATTTTATTGTTGTTTCGGAGGCGAGGGTTGGTGGACCGCGTGGAAGTTCACGAGGCTCACGCCTCCTGTTGGGTTGCGTGCGATCTGGCCAGGAGGTGGCGGTACAGCAAGACATTTAGACACCGGCCCAGATTTAGAGCAGAGTTTGAAAAGACATTTTTCTGCAGGAGCTTTGAGTGCGTTGTGAAGACCGATAATGACGCTGATAGCGATGACGATGACAATTTTGATTTGAAGCTTTCGTGACTGCAGGAATCCATAGTCTTTCGGTAAGTCACCTATGTGACTTTACCGAAAGAACGAAAGATTACGATGACAATAATTTCAACTCAACAACGATTACAATTATTCAACCACCCATCCCATGCTGACTAGGAACAATAGCACAAAAATGCCTCAGACATTCGAATCTCGTTGCATCGCATCTTGTCTCGACACGTTCTCCAAGGGCACCCCCCCCCCCCCCCGGTAGTAGCTGTCCAGCAAGCGGGTGTGAGTCCTGCTAGGAGGGGGCGACGATTCCTCCTGTGCATAACCCCAATTTAGCGGACGTAGGAATAAGTACAATGATGACGATAATGACGATGACGACGACGATGACGATAATGATGATGATCATGGCGTTGATGACGATCATGGCGCTGATGACGGCGATGATGATAATGGCGATGACGATGATGACGATGATGATCATGGCGATGAAGATGATGGTGTTGAACAGTGGCGATTGCTGTTGACGAACGCCGCCTGTAACCGGCCACGCGGCGGCCCTCACCTCGATCTCCTTGTCGTCCGGGAGGTGGCCCCCGGTGGGCGAGGAGGGCGCCGCGGACATCTGCGGGGCGACGCCGACAGAATGCAGCCACGAGGACAACCGGTCAACCCTCGCGGACCGGGAATCGGTACGGCTCGCGAAGCCTCACAGCGACTCACCGAGCCTCACCGAGCCTCACCGAGCCTCGCAGGTCACGTGCAGCAGCGCTCTCGCATTGTGTGCGTGAATGCGTATGTGTGTGTGTACATGTGTGCACATGGCCTGGCACAAGCGTCGTGGTGACGTCACCGCCACTTAGTGGCGAATGGCGGTTGTTGTTGTTGTTACGTGTGTGAGCTCCTCCGGCAGGCAAGGCTGCGTTGGCTGGGCCCTGTAGCCCGCTTGCCCAATCACCGCATGCCCAAGCAGCTTTTGTTCGGCTGGATCGAGGGGGCTAAACAGGCGCGGCACGGGCTAGAGAAGAGATGGAGTGATGTGGTACAGGAGGATGTGGAGCTGAGTGGACTCGCCAATGACTGGTACCAGCGGTGTCAAGATCGGCCTCTGTGGAGGAGGCTCGTGAAGGACGCTACTTGGGCAGTTGGAGGCAGTCGCCCTCCAACAACAACGGAGAGCGGAGGAGCGACGCTCACAACAACGAGCGGAGCGCCGGGTGGCTAAAGCACAGCAAGTTGGCACAGTAGGGGCCACAGGTGGTGCATCAGCCACTCATCTCAGTCAGTCGACCCGTGGCACCTGCTGGGTCTGCCTCGTGACACCTCCTGCCAGTGGGCGTTCGACACTTCACGAGGCCTCAAGGTGCACATGGCCTGGCACAAGCGTCATGGTGACGTCACCGCCACTTAGTGGCAAATGGCGGTTGTTGTTGTGTGTGTGCGTGTATGTACCGGTTTGCTGGAGAGCGAGTAGGTGGTGACTGAGTGGGGGAGGGAGCTGTAGGCACCCGGGAGGGAGCGACGGTCCTGGCTCTCTGGACTCTGCGATGGCCACACATAATCACAAAGACAAAGATCCCCCATATAGCCTTAACAGTCTTTTTGGGCAAGTGCTGTTCACGAGCACCTATGAAGGCTAGCGATGTTGCAACATCACATCAGGAACGGTTCAGATTATCTCTGGCTGGTATTGGCCCTGAGCGCACAGCGTGCTAACCACTACACAGCTACACCACCGCTCCCCCACACTCGTTCGCCCATGAGTCATCAATTGCGATTGATGTTCAAACGCTCACGCTTAGGACCTGTGAATCAAGCGGTGAGTGCCGACTCTGCTGGCACTGGAGGTACGACATTCACCACAACGGGGAATTAAACTGCAATGAAATAGCAACCTCTCCTCTATTTAAATCTGTCCACATCTGTCTAGGTTTCCAGACAATCCTGTTTTCATGTCTGGCTTCAATCCAACAGAATTATAATCGGACTCTCTCCCATTCTCTCCACACCCTCTAATCTCCCCTCACACACTGTCCCTCCTCGCACTCCACCTTGGAAGTGGAAATTAAAGACACAAGCCACAGTGTTGCGATTGTGGCCGTGCAACGAAAACGACGGACCCATATAGTAACCCCAACGAGACGCATAGAGATACACAGAGACCCATAGAGACTCACATATACATAGAGACCCACAGATCTCGTAAACATACGAGCCGTCAGTGGCTCAGGGAGTACGGCAATCGGTCAGGTGGGGACAACGGTAATTTTGAAAACAAATCTCATTGGGGTTGTCAAGGGGGCCCCAACTCGTAGCTTTGGCCACCAGGCTCGTCATGCTACTGCAGGCCGTGGCAGTGCGACTGTGGCCATCCAACTCAAGTTGTGGACCCGCCCTGCGGTCTGCGCTCCTTCAACAGGAGGAGCGGCGACACGACACCAACTCTCTCTTTGCTGAAGCCCTCCCTTTCGCCACGGCCTGCAGCAGCAGCAGCAGCAGCAGGACCTCCACATTGAGCGTCGAGCTTCCGGACATCCCACCGCCGCCTGTGCCGCCTGTGCCGCCTGTGCCGCCCATACCGCCGGTGCTGCCGCGCACGTACGAGACCAGCGTCGAACCTTGTAGGCCGCCCCCGCGGGCGCTCTCCTCGCGGTGCCGGCGTCGTCCTGGCTGTAACGGCCGGCGGCCACCGCCACCCTCCCCACGGGGGCGTGCGGGGACGTGACGCCGCGCGACGACCTCGCGGCGGCTCCCGCAAAGGGCCCGGCGCCCCGGTCGACGCTGGGGGACGCGGGCGCCTCCGTGGGCGAGCGAGAGGGGGGCGCGATGCCCTGGCGGAAGAGCTGGCGCTGCTGCCACTCGTAGAGGCGCCAGACGGTTCCCTCCTTGCTCGAGCGCTTGTCCTCATCGTTCATGCCGCGCAGGATGACGCGGTCCTGCGCCGTCGGCGGGTCGGCGGCCACCGTGGGGTCAAAGGTGCGGGAAGAGCGAGGGGTCGAGAGGTCAAGACGGCCGAGTTGAGGGTGCGGTGGCGGTGCAGGCTGTCAGCAAACCAAGCAGGGCGTAGGGCCCCAAGGAGCTTTTGGGGGGGGGGGCGGTGGGGGGGCTCCAGATTCTCAAAGAATAAAGAGGGGAGCCGAGTGAATATCGAACGGACACCGTTCTAAGAACACGGCCTGTGATTGGTAGATTGGCTTCGTGAATTTCGTACGCCACCAAGTTGTGCAGCTCGTCCCGCGCGTCACGCTGGTCGCCCACACAATGGTGACGGTGGCGATGATATGGATAATGGCGTTGATTATGAAGGTGATGATGGTAGCGATGATGATGATGGTGTTGGGTGGGCAGCAGTCATCATCACCGCAAACGAAATGCATCGGCCGTGTCGCACCCGCTCAACGAATCCATCTGTGCGGCGTGCGCGGGCGGACTCTGACCTGGGCATACTTGTAGTCGCCCGGCCGGGCGGCCACATTGGCTCCGTGCTGCGCCGCGTGCCGCTGCCCCCTCCCGCCCCCCCCCGCCGCCTCGGGGGCGCCCCCGACGGCCCCCCGCACCGGCAGCGTGCGGGTGCTGTAAGCCGGCGCCGTCGAGGCCGGGGTGGCGGCGCCGGGGCCGGCTGCCAGGCGCGACGGGAGCGCCGGCTGGGATGGTCGTGCCTGGTCGGTCATGTCCGGCCTCACCTCCCGGCGCAGCCTCGGCATCGTCTGGGTTTGGGGGCCACTGTGGGGGGGGCGGGAGGGGGGGCGGTCAGGATAGAACGGAGAAGATCCCGCCGCCAACTTCCGTGGTGACGTTGACGGTTTGTCCGTTGCGAATGACACCACGGGATCTGTAACGTTCACTGCGAATGGAGGAGACGGGCCCGTAGCTCCCCCGCGATTACAACCAGGGCGGCCGCTGGATTCGAACTGCAACGAGCGAGAGATTCGCCGACGGTGAGGATTCACTGGGCGGCCGCGTCCCCTGAACTCTGACCCCTCAAGCATCGTCATCGACCCTACCTCTGCCGAGCTGGGTTGGGGCCCTGGCCGTGGTTGCTCCGCGGAGGCCGCGACACGATGACGGGCTGGTGGGGCTGCCTGGGGTCGGGGCCACGGGGGGGGTGGGCCCCCTCGGAGGGGTAGGGGCCCCGGGCCACCGTGCCGGCGACCTCGGGCCAAACGTGGGCCCTGGGACCCTCGCCGTGGCGGGGCTGCACGCGGACGTACGCGCAAACGCACACGCGCACACATCCACACAGGCACACATACGCAGGAATAACCACGCAAGCACACGCAGGCACCGGCCGTACAAGCACATACCTGCGGGTACTTGACAGAATTCAGAGGCAGGCCATCAGGATGATGAGTGCTCGCTGGTTCACTTCAGCCACCCGCTCACTGGCGGGCAGTCAATTCCTTTCCGCTCTTCTCTCGCTACGACTGCCGTGGTTACCGTTCACTAAACTTTACTGATTCTGCGTCGTCTCATCCACCACCACACTGCAGATGGATGAACTTCTTTTGCACATCATAAAAATACACTCAACACCCACCCACCCCCTCACCCACCCCCTCACCCTCCCATTCACCCACCCACCCCCTCACCCTCCCACTCACCCACCCCCTCACCCCCTCACCCACCCACTCACCACCCTGCTGGACTCCTCACTCCGCTTTCTGCTTCTTCCCCTGCACCGTTGCACTTTGGAATCCCCTCCTCCCATCGTCACCATCCCCCAAGCCCTCACTGTCCAGAACTCTAATCTATTATCTATTGCCACAACCACTCTGACAGGCCTCTGACAGGAGGTGCCGTACCCTGCCTAACCAGGAGAAGGCAGTACAGCAAATGTGGATTAATCTTCCCTCTAACGTGTGGGTTTACTCTGGGTGCTCCAGTTCCCTCCTACCTGTAAACATTTATTGGCCAATAACACCTTCATCATTATATATATATGTAAGCCTGCAGAGCTTGGGCAATTGTTGCTACTGTCAGCTCAGGCTACTGTGAGAGTCCGAGCCAGAGGGGACGAGAAAGGCCTTGAGCCTGGACTTGGAACAGGGGCTGCTCGTTGGCCACCGATCCCAACTGCTCGCCCGCCCGCTCACCCGCATGCTCTCTCGCTCACCCACACGCTCGCTCGCTCTCCCACCCACTCTCTCACCCACTCTCCCACTCGCTCTTCTGCCCGCTCGCTCTCCCGCTCGCTCTCCCGCCTGCTCTCACCTGCGCCACCGTCGCCCTGGCATCGCCACCGCCGCTGTCGCTGTCCGAGAGCCGCAGCTCCCTGCGGCCCCCCCCACCGCCCCCGGCCCCTGGCCCCGCCGCGGGGGCCCCCCCTCCCCCGTTGGAGCGCGGCGCCCTGCGGGGGCTGCGCGGCCCCTCCCCCCGGCCCGCGCCCCCCCCGCTCGCGCCGCCGAGCCCGTGGTGGTCCCCCCTCCCGTTGCGCGCCGGCTCCTCGTGGTGAAGCCGCTCCGCGTGCTGGTTGGGGCCGCCGCCGCCCTGGCCGTTCCTGCGTGGGCGGAGCGGCGCGCGTCGCGAGATGCTCTCCGTGGTGCCGGTGGTTGGGGACGGTGCGGGTGGTGTTGGCGGTGGCGTGGGTCGTGGCGGCGGTGGTGGTGTGGGTGGTGATGGTGTGGGCCTTGGTGGTGTGCGCACGTATCCTTCACAGGTGCTGCTCGCTGACAGGACTTGTTCAAGGCTATCGAGGGGACCTTTGTCTTCGTGGCAGTCAGTCGGGGGGCTGTGTGCTGTGGGTAACATCTGGTGCTGGGTGAGTTGGGGGGTCGACTCGGCCCATCATCCATCCATCCCTCCAGGGCCCATAAAACGACGGCCATTGTGTGGGGAACTCAACGATGGCGTTGTCCTATGGATATACACATCCCCGGCATAGGAATGTGGCTCTATGGGGCTGTGAACAGGAGATGAGCACCGGTGCCTCGATGCTCAGTTGAGTCGGAATGATCACTCCCACTCGGGCCGCGTCGGGTTTGTGTCACAAACTATACTCGCGTCATCGTCATCATCATCGTCATCATCATTCTCATCACCGTCACCATCGTCATCATCATCGTCATCACCATCATCATCGTCGTCGTAATCGTTGTCGTCGTCATCGTAATTCTCATCACCGTCACCATCGTCATCATCATCACCGTCACCGATTGCCTTCATCATCGTCGTCGTCAAAGTCGTTGTTATCAACATCATCATCGTCGTCGTCGTCATCATCGTTGTTGTCATCATCGTCATCATCGTCATCATCATCATCGTCATCATCATCATCGTCGTCGTCATCGTTGTTGCTGTCATCATCATCATCGCCGTCGTCGTTGTTGTCATATCATCATCATCGTCGTCATCATCATCGTCGTCGTCATCATCATCGTCGTCGTCATCGTCGTTGTTGTCATCATCATCATCGTCGTCGTCATCGTCGTTGTTGTCATCATCATTATCGTCATCATCATCATCATCAACGTCATCAACATCGTCATCACCGTCGTCGTCGTTATCATCATCATCGTCATCACCGTCGTCGTCGTTGTCATCATCGTCGTCATCACCACCGTCGTCATCGTCGTCACACCGTCTCGCGAGGTACGGCGACCGGTGTCTCTCACCGGCGTGGCTGAGACAGCGCCGTGTGCCCCAGCGCCGCCATCCAGTCCTCGGCGTCCCTCTGGCTCTCCGCCGCCAGGAAGTACGTCCGCCTGCCCGTCTGCTGCGCCTGATAGTGCATCACAAAGTCGCGGCTGTAGTAGTAGGCGCGCTGGCCCGTGGGGCTCATCTGGGGGGGGGGGGGGGGAGATTGACGGCGTCACACGTGGAGACTTCATTCCCACGCACGCACATGGCCAAAACGTAATTCTCATTTAGCAATTTTTTGGTGAAAATAATTAATTACTTCTGTTAGAATCAGGGAATCATGTTTGTGGGGTCGCTGTGTAGATTAGGTGGCACGTGACTATGACCAGTAGCCGAAGTCGCATCGGGAGGTCTACTTGACGTGGCTTGCCGGATTATATTAATATCCCCGGAGTCGTAGCAATGATAGCAGCAGCAGCAGCTCTCTAGCCGGGCCGGTGGTGTCAGGGGCAGCGTCTGTGAGTTTCACTTCCACGTGGCAGCCAACTCCCAAGAGGGGTAGATAACATTTAGCACCACATTGTGCGAGCGAAGTCGACGGGTGAGTTTATCGTACGGATGGACATCCCTCCGCCAAATGAAAGTGGAAACACTCTAAAGTCGTCTGGCCGAATCCTCTACCGTGAGCGTCTCTGCACGTGGGAGGAAACCGGGGAGCTCATAGAAGCCCCAGCACCACGCGCACCGACGGGGATACTTGCTGTACTGCCCGCTGTCGGCATCATCGGCCGTCAGGTGTGAAGAAGTTCGTGTGTCGCACGGCTTCCCATCTCAGAGTGATCCACCAACCCCGGACGGCAGCCGGCAATGGCTACCCCGACCGGCATGAGTGATTCTCATCCCTGTGTCGCTGCTGCTGCTGCTGCTGTTGTTAATATCATCATCATTATCATTGCCATCAATTGTCATCATTGCGAGCGCGAGCGGAGCGATCGCGACCTCAGCCCTCGTCGCGCACGATCCCCGGGTGGAGGAGGCTACAGTGTCCAGCCCCGGGTTTTGTCTCAGGCGGAGTCACTGGTTGAGTCACTGGAATGCGATGATCGTCACATCGTCGAAAGTAATACCGTGGCCAATCCGATGCACACAGTGAGACTAGGAAACCCGGACTGGAGCGTGTAGCCTCCTCAACCTCTCCAATAACAACGTTGAGCGACGATCAGAGATGTCACGTGGACACCCACTGTCCCACCGCACCACCACCACCACCAGCAACCACCACCCAAATTCCCCACCACCAACACGACCACAACAACCCTCGGCTCCCCACAAGAACCAAGCGCATGCAATCACGCCACCCAACGGAAATCACGCAACGCACACGCGTGTACAAACGCAACGTGACAACACGCAGGCGCGCGAACCACACGCGTGTGCGCAAGCACGGCAACTCCCAAGCATGCGTGCGGTGAAGCAGAAACCACCAGGCCCAAGCACCGGAAGTGCCGCGGTCGATCCATCGATGATTTTTGCCGCGGGGCGCGCTCGTGGTTGAATAGCCGTCGATTGATTCGCTGCGGGCATTTCCGTGCGGTGAGGTTGCTTCGTCACACTCGCGATGGTTTTGTTTTAAAACGGGGAAGGCGTCGGGGGTCAGAGGACCCATTCATACTTAAAGAGACACGTCAAGCGGACAGGCGCACGGGAACACGCTCGCCCAGGCCGCTCCCGTCACCACGAACCGGGACGCGCGGCGCCGCTGTTTGCCTGCCGGGCCAAAAAAATATTCTCCCTCCAGTGCCCGATTAGTGCCGCTAGGATGCGGGCAAGCGACCGATTTATTTCGTTTGCATGCCGCTTAGAAGCGGTGGGCGTCGCATGGCCGCGGGCCGCGTGACGGGAGGAAGCAGCGAGCCGATATCTGGCTGGCGAGTCGGAGGGCTCTCAGACTTCGCGGTCAAAAGGTCAAAAATCGGGAACGAGTCAGGAACGAACAAACTGTGGGGTCCAACTCCTGGTTGGGGAAATAGGGAGGGGGGGGTCGACTCAGCCCATCATCCTCCCTTCCTCTTGGGTGGATAAAATTAGCACCACTTTGTTGGCAAGTCAACAGTGGTTGCCTTACGGCAAGACTTTCCCACTGCCATAAGAATATGGAATCTTCACCACTGGCTCAGGGATGTGAACGGAGGATGAGCCGGAAGGATGTTGACTTCGCGTGACTGGCGGAACGGCCGCCACCATCGGCGAGTGTGACGTAGCGACGGCGATGGACGTGCGGGATGGGAGGATGGGAGGATGGGGGGATGACGATGGTGATGGGGGTTGCATCTGCAGCCCAGGCGTTACCTATGGCCCCACGGAGACTCCGTGGCGGCACTCACACAGACAGCCGGGGTCGACGGCTCGGCAAAGGAGTGCAGGACCGCCCGAGGAACACACACGCACACACACGCATACATGCGCACGCACACATATATGCACACACACGTACACATGTGTAGGGACATCGCAGACACATCTCACATGTGGGTGCAGTACCGGCCCTAGAGGCGCTTGGTGAGCGCTGTCCGACAGTGCTGAGTGGCACCACGCTCTGCGTGCAGTGCCGACCCCTACAGGATAAGGTGAGGAGTGCCGGCCATGGGAATGGGGTTACTAAGGGCCGTGGCACTCTGGTTGACCCCGAAGGACACGTGACCGGTAAAGTCACACAGGGCCCCCAGGTGGGGGCTAGGGGTGGTCACGTGTCAGGGTCGAGAACCTGCAAGAGGGTTCTAGAAGGTGGGCGTGGCTAAGAGCGGAGCCAGCCACGCGACGGAGGATAGAAGCCGGGTCCCCGAGCGGGACCGGCTGCTGTTGTTCATCCTGAAGAATCTACGTCCTACAAGAGTCACCTACACGTGGACCGGGACCCAGGCCAGGGTCCGGTCCGTCGTAGCTGCTCCAGTGTAATTAGAGGAGTTAACCTGGTGGTCCACCACCATATGTTGTTCATGTGCTCAGGGGTAGTACCCCGTGTGTTGGTTTTAATAAATGTGTTGCCTCCAAGAAGTGCGTCTGCGACGAAGTTGAACCCACTCCACATGTGCATACACACGTGCTCATACACACGCACGTACACACACACGCACACGCACATACACACTCACGTACATACATACGCACTTACATACATACACACACACGTGCACGCACATGACAAACAAATTGCCCACCGATGGTAGAACAATTTGAATCAAGAGAAAACAAAGGCTTGTTGCGGTATATTCGTGTGTATGAGTGTGTGTGTGTGCATGTGTGTGTGCGGACGTGTGCATGAGCGTGTGCGTGTGTGTACTATGTGTAACATGTCTAGACTATCATCTCGTGTCTGCATGGGGAGCGGTGGTGCAGAGATTAGCCACCAGAGTTCGATTCCTGCTCACAGCCACCAACGCCAGTGACGATTATCTGAACTGGTCCTGGGCTTCCTCAAATGAGTACCTGGTGCGGTGTGTAAACATCGCCACTGGGAAGACAAAGGACGGCCGGGCGTGGTGTTGGCCACCCACCCCCTCGTGTGCCGTGCCGGCCTTCATAGGTGCCACTCGCTCACAGCACTTGCCCCAACGGTCTGTTAAGGCTACACGAGGGATCTTTGCCTTTGTGAGCAGAGGTGGGCGGGAGGGGGGCGTCTCTAAGCGGAATGGGGGGCTCCCCCCCCCCCACCCTGCCCCCCGCGCCGAGCTCGAGGGTGTCTCACCTTGAAGGCATACTTCCTCGTCACGTTGTCCGGGAGCTCCACGGGGGAGATCTCGTAGCTGGGCAGGAGAATGCTGCCCTGGAGCTGCTCCTCTTTGCTGTCTGTGCGTGGGGAGAGGAGGAGGAGGGGATGGGGGGAGGAGGAGACACGAGGAGGAGGAAAAGGGGATGGGGGGAGGAGGAGATGGGGGGAGGAGGAGACACGAGGAGGAGGAGGTGCAGGGAAAAAGAAGAGGGGGAGGGATGAGGAGGTGAGAGTTGCATAGCTTGCAGGAGCACGTGACTATATAGCGAGGCTTGGTCACTCATTGTCAAACTCCCTCCCCCCCCCCCCCCCCCGTGTCACCACTGAGATACGGAGGTATCTCAGTGGTGGAGTGGTGCACATTATCATCAAACCGGTCAGCGGGCGACAAGGAGGGCGCTAGCAAGGGACTAGGAGGGCGATAAGGAGGGCGTTAGTGGGCCGTGGGACAGTGGGGGATTGTGCGGTGGCTGGCACTTGCTACCTTTGTAGTAGAAAAGGCAAAGGTCAGACAGCACGAACCATCGCCTCTTCCACAACTTCATCCCGGCGCTGTCCTGCAAGACAAAGCAAAGATCCCCCGTGTAGCCTTCACAGACTTTTCGGGGCAAGTGCTGTTAGCGAGCAGCACCTGTGAAGGACGGCACGGCACGAGAAGTGAATGAGTGGCCAGCACCACGCCCGGTCGTCTGATGTTCGAACTCGGGTCACCGGGGTTCGAGAAGAGCGGTGCGCTAACTGCTGCGCCAGAGTGCCGACGCTCCCAGTGGCCCACACGGCCCGCGAGAGACGGGGGAGTGCGGGAGGGATGCCACTCACCTGCTTGAAGAGCCACCCATACTTCACCACAGGAGCCTTGGGGTTTCTCGTTATCACGGCGGAGCCCTTCCCAAAGGGCTGGGCCTTCTTGGAGATCTGGGAGAAGAAAGGCGGGGGGGAGAAAAAGTCTTGTGACTCTCATCTAAATGTGAGGATGAATCGAGTGACGAGGCAATACAGGTGATGGCGATGGTGATGATGTTGATGATTGTGATGATGTGATCGTGGTGGTGATCTTGATGGTGGTGGTGATGGCGGTGATGGTGATGGTGGTGATGGTGGTAGTGTTGGTGTGCTCTCACCGTGCTAGTGGTGTGGGTGGTGGTGGTGGTGGTGGTGATGGCAGTGGTGTGTGGTGGTGGTGGTGGTGGTGGTGATTATGGTGATGGTGGTAGTGGTGGTGTGCTCTCACCAGTGCTGGTGGTGTGGGTGGTGGTGGTGGTGGTGGTGGTGATGGCGGTGGTGGTGATGATGGTGATGGTGGTAGTGGTGGCGTGCTCTCACCGTGCTGGTGGTGTGGGTGGTGGTGGTGAGCGTCGTGTTCGTGGTGTTGCTGACCAGACTTCCCGGCCGCTCCCCTCCCCTCTCTTCGTATGGCCTACACAAAGACAAAGATCCTCCGTATAGCCTGAGCACACTTTTTGGGGCAAGTGCCACCAGTGAGAACCTCCAAAGGCCGACACGGCACACAAGGAGGAGGAGGGGGTTGGTGGCCAGCACCACGCCCGACCACCTTTGTCTCCCCAGTGCTGATGTCTTTGCACATCGCACCAGGCACTCATTTTAGTCAACCTAGACCCAGGACTGGTTCAGGTATTTCGTCACTGATGTTGGCCGTGGGCAGGAATCGAACTCAGGTACCGGATTCGTAGCACAGTGCGTTAAGCCCTGTGCTGCTGATACACCCACACAAACACGCACGCACATTACACACAGGTGTAGCTGAGACCCACTCTCACACAAAGATCAAACATAAAAATCCCCGTATCACTTTCACAGACTGTAGGAGCAAGTGCTGTTAGCGAGCCGCCTTTGTCTCCCTAGTGGCGATGTTTACACACCGCACCAGGTACTCATTTGAGGCTGTGTCGACCTAGGGGAGGCCCAGTACCGGTTCAGATAATCGTCACTGGTGTTGGCCGTGAGCGGGAATTAAGCTCGGGTCGCCAGGTTCGTAGCGCAGCGTGCTAACCGCTACATGACCGCTCCCCACTCTCACACACACACACGCACACACTCACACACTCACGCACACACACACAGGCGTACCTGAGACCCACTCGCACACTCACGCACGCACACACACACTCACGCACACACACACACAGGCGTCAGTGTTCCAGCGCGCGTTCCCCAGGTATCAGTTTCTGCGGCCCGGCCAGAGCTTTCAGCACGAGCAACAATGGGCGATTTGTGGGGGTCTCGTTACGCAAAGCATTCCCCCCACTCCGCGTCAGGGAGCGCGAGAGAGAGACACAGAGAGAGTAACAGAGAGATACACAGAGAGAGAAACACAGAGAAAGTGACAGAGAGAGACACAGAGAGAGAGACACAGAGAGAGTAACAGAGAGATACACAGAGAGAGAAACACAGAGAAAGTGACAGAGAGAGACACAGAGAGAGAGACACAGAGAGAGTAACAGAGAGATACACAGAGAGAGAAACACAGAGAAAGTGACAGAGAGAGACACAGAGAGACAGAGAGACACAGAGAGACACAGAGGGAGTGACAGAGAGAGACTCAAAGAGAGAGAGAGACACAGAGAGAGTAACAGAGAGATACACAGAGAGAGAAACACAGAGAAAGTGACAGAGAGAGACACAGAGTGACAGAGAGACACAGAGTGACACAGAGGGAGTGACAGAGAGAGACTCAAAGAGAGAGAGAGACACAGAGAGAGTAACAGAGAGATACACAGAGAGAGAAACACAGAGAAAGTGACAGAGAGAGAGACACAGAGAGACACAGAGAGACAGAGAGAGACACAGAGGGAGTGACAGAGAGAGACAGAGACAGAGAGAGACTCAGAGAGAGAGAAACACAGAGAGAGACACAGAGAGACTCGGAGAGAGTGACAGAGAGAGACACAGAGAGACAGAGAGAGACACAGAGAGATGGAGATAGTGACAGAGAGAGAGACAGAGAGAAACCAAGAGAGACACAGAGACACAGAGGGAGTGACAGAGAGACACAGAGAGAGACAAAGAGAAACAGACAGGCAGAGAGACAGAGAATCAAAATCTTGATTTAAACTGCGGGAAGAATCCGATGAGCTATGAAGCTCTTTTTCACAGATGTCCCGTAGGGGTGTGTCAGCAAGTTGCAACAACACAGAGAGACAGGCAGAGAGAGATGATTATAATGATTATGGTGATGATTATGGTGATTATTATGGTGATGATTATGATGATTCTTCACTTAAAGCTTTCGTGACTTCAGGAATTCATATTCTTTGGGTCTTTCGGTAAAGTCACGTAGATAGAACAATATTTTATTGTTCTATCTACGTGTTCTATCTACGTGACTTTACCGAAATACCCAAATAATATGATTATGATGATGATGGAGATGATGGCGCTGATGATGGTGCCGCTGATGGTGCTGATGGTGCTGATGGTGCTGCTGATGATGATGGTGAGTGACGGTGGCGACGTACATGGTGTCGTTGAGGAGGAACCCCGCGTTTTCCTCCGCCGCGTGCCCCGTCTCCGGGTGGAAGAACGTCGTCACGCGCTCATTGTGGCTGTCGCACACGCAGCAGACACACGCAGCAGACACACGCAGCAGACACACGCAGCAGACACACGCAGCAGACACACGCAGCAGACACGGAGACACAGAGACATGGAGACACAGAGACACGGAGACACGTGAGTATGCACAGAGACAAGACTGGGCAGCAAGTTAGACATCTCCATGACACTGCTGGGAGACCACTCAGTGTCCACCACTCACCTACACACCTACTCACTCGCCCAACCACTTACTCACGCACTCACCCACACACCTACTCACTCGCCCAACCACTCACTCACGCACTCACCCACACACCTACTCACTCGCCCAACCACTCACTCACGCACTCACCCACACACCTACTCACTCGCCCAACCACTCACTCACGCACTCACCCACACACCTACTCACTCGCCCAACCACTCACTCACGCACTCACCCACACACCTACTCACTCGCCCAACCACTCACTCACGCACTCACCCACACACCTACTCACTCGCCCAACCACTCACTCACGCACTCACCCACACACCTACTCACTCGCCCAACCACTCACTCACGCACTCACCCACACACCTACTCACTCGCCCAACCACTCACTCACGCACTCACCCACACACCTACTCACTCGCCCAACCACTCACTCACGCACTCACCCACACACCTACTCACTCGCCCAACCACTCACTCACGCACTCACCCACACACCTACTCACTCACCCACACACTTACTCACTCGCCCACTCACCCACACACCTACTCACTCGCACAACCACTCACTCGCACACTCACCCACACATCTACTCACTTGCTCAACCACTCACTCGCCCACTCACCCACACACCGCTCGACCGCTCAATAGCTTGGAGGGACGAATGCCAACCCCACATCATCCCCCCTGGCACTCTCTTTCTCACTCGCTCGCTCACTCCCTCCCTGTCATTCACTCGCACACTCCCTGGCCACCCTTACACTCCGACACGACACTAATGAACTCGCACGCACGACCACTCACTCACTCCCTCACGAACTCGCTCACCCGCCTCTCACTCCCATCACCACCCTCCGTCATCCACCACTCAGCCCCGGCGCCCATCAACTCAGGTGCACGATCGCTCGCTCTCTCTCTCTCCATCTCTCTCTCACCCTCTCGCTCCCCCATCTCACTCCACCGCCCCTGCCACCCCCATCTCCCCCCCCCCCGCCGTCACCACCCTCCATCACCCCCGCTCAGCCCCGGCACCGGTGAGCTGGCCGTCTCGCCCGGTGACAAATCCTCCGCGTGAATAATTGAGACGGCGGGAGGCCCGCCACCCGATCCCGAACGAGCGGCTAAACGGCGCGACCGCCGCGGCGGCGCACTGCGGTGATGGCACCACCCCCCCAGCAAGACGAGCG